GGAGTGTTTGTATATTAAATGTAATGGCAGGCAACACTTGACACTTGATTCGATTTCGAATATTGGAATTATTTTAAATGTTTTAAAAAACAGATCATTGTATTCTCGTAAGAAAATGTCAGTACTTCTCATCTAGACACGGCATGAAAAACATGTAATAGTTTTATAAAAAATATAAAGATAAAAATTGTATAATGGTGTAAAAGTGTTAAAGCTATCTGCAATATAATTATAATGAAGCACTTGTGTTTTTAAATAGCCCCTCATCACCTACAGAACCCAATCCCTTCAAATATAACCGTCCAACAGGTTATGGGCCCAGAACAAATTTAAAAGGTAATAATATTTATTTTAGTTTGCTGATTAAAACATCACCTACGCCTACAACATCACCATGGAAACGAAACTGTTTGTAAAATTTTTCATAGCCAACCAAAACTCATGGTTCAATGAAAAATAAAACCTTTCACAAATAAGGATATAAATTATTAAGCTTGGAGAAAGCTAATTTTAAATTTATTGCCGGAAAAATTTAATACTTTCAAATCAATTTGGAACAATATAGACGTAGAAAAGAAAAATTTAGACGAATTAACCCGAAGAATTAAAAATGAATTGGAATTCATCAAAGAAGACTCTATCATAGAATCTCGAGAAATTTTAAAAGGAAACGAAAAGAGATGTTTCATCTGCAACAAACCAGGGCACATAGCAAGATTCTGTAAAAATAAAAAATGCGACCTCTGCGGCAAGTCGGGACATAGTACGGATGAGTGCTATAGAAACAAAATATGTACCAGGAGTAGTAAGAAAGGGCATATAAAGCAATTTTGTAGAACATATAATTCGGTAAGTGGTAATTCAAAATTTATTAAAATAAATGCTATATTTGATTCTGGAGCATCGTCACATATGTTTTCAAGTAAAGAATTCATAAATTTTACAGAAGACATAGAAGTAGAAATTAAATGCGCAAATAAAGAAAATTTAGTTGCAACAGCGGTCGGATATATTAATACAGATTTCGGGAAATTCGAGAATGTTCTTTATGTACCAGGAATATCTAGAAACCTAATTTCAGTGAGCTGTTTAACAGACAATGGAGCCACCGCAATTTTCGAAAATGATTGAATGGTTAATAAGTAAAAGAAAGTGAGAAAATTTAATAAGTGAAAGATATTAAGATAATGAAAGGTTGTTATGGAAATGAAAAGTTATATTTGAGTTCGAGTGTTGAATAAAGCTATCTGAGGTTATTTGTTATGTTATGTTGTCGTTTGTGAGTGGAGATAAAGGAGTTAAAGGTAAAAGAGTCGAGTAGGAGTTAAAGGTAAAAGAGTCGAGTAGGAGTTAAAGGTAAAAGAGTCGAGTAGGAGTTAAAGGTAAAAGAGTCGAGTAGGAGTTAAAGGTAAAAGAGTCGAGTAGGAGTTAAAGGAAGGTTATAAAGAGGTTGAGAAGGCGTTTAAGGTTATTAAAGAGGTTGAGAAGGCGTTTAAGGTTATTAAAGAGGTTGAGAAGGCGTTTAAGGTTATTAAAGAGGTTGAGAAGGCGTTTAAGGTTATTAAAGAGGTTGAGAAGGCGTTTAAGGTTATTAAAGTAAAGAGGTTGAGAAGGCGTTTAAGGTTATTAAAGTAAAGAGGTTGAGAAGGCGTTTAAGGTTATTAAAGTAAAGAGGTTGAGAAGGCGTTAAAAGTTTTAAATAAACTTGAAGAGTTTATGTAGGAAGTCGAGAAGGAGTTAGACTATTATAGTTAAGGTTTTATATAGTGAGTCAAGAGGGAAGTTAAGGTTGAATGGTTGTATGGTTGAATGAAAGTACATTTTTGATCGAATTGGAGTTGGAGAAGTAAGAAAGGATTAAAGGTAGCGACATTAAAGATAGTATTAAGTTTGAAAGGTTGAATGAATAGTTGTTGGTTGAATTAAGAGGGATTATGTAGAAGTAACGGAATGTAAGTGGTTGTGAGGTTTTTTAGGTATGTATGGAAAGAATTAATTTATGAAGGTCAGGTTAGCGTTATTCTTTTTTGGCATTAAATTATAGACGGAGAAAAATGTGTGCAAGTGTTGAGGGGGTGTGTTGGAGTTTGTATATTAAATGTAATGGCAGGCAACACTTGACACTTGATTAGATTTCGAATATTGGAATTAATTTAAATGTTTTAAAAAAACAGACCATTGTATTCTCGTAAGGAAATGTCAATACTTCTCATCTAGACACGGCATGAAAAACATGTAATAGTTTTATAAAAAAAATATAAAGATAATAATTGTATAATGGTGTAAAAGTGTTCAAGCTATCTGCAATATAATTATAATGAAGCAGTTGTGTTTTTAAATAGCCCCTCATCACCTAAAGAACCCAATCCCCTCAGATTTTAACCGTCCAACACAGGCCATGAACTACGTACTCACTACTCCGTAACGACTTCTCTGTAAATCGTTTTTGTTTAAATATCAAATTGGAAGATATACTATTCTCGATAGGTAACGTAAAAGTAACTCAAATTGTATGCAGTTGGAACAGCGCCCCCAGCGGGTAACGTTCCAACTCCACACTTTGATTTAACTTTTATGTTATCGCGAACGGTAAAATACTCACTAAGCCCACTGCTAGTAGATTCTACGAAGCACTGCTCTTTCTAGGAATGGTGTTAGGAACTTCATCAGATTAAAGGCCCGTGAGCTCACTTACTCGTTCGGTGAATCTAGCGTGACATGACTGAGGTATCGCGAAGTACGATTGTGTTGTGATGACCTATTGAATTTCCAGAAAAAAATGGGCCTTATTATATAATTGCAGCTATTATAATTATAGCTCAGAAGAAGAAAAAATCAAGAAGCCAAAATCCAAAGAATAACAAAAAAAGGTCTTTTAAAAAACGTGAAAAGCATAAGACATCACTGCTGTAATAAGTTTATCCAATAATTTGATCTTTTGTTTATTTTTAATTTCTTCCGAAACATGAAGTCGTCCTGGCCTAAAGGATAAGACGTCCGGTGTATTCGTATGTAGTGATGCATCAGTGTTCAAATACCGCCATTTTTCCAATGAAATACGTACTTACATAATGTTCACGATTGACTTCCACGGTGAAGGAATACCATCGTGTAATAAAGATGAAATCCGCAAAATTATAATTTGTATAATTAGGTACTGATGGTAGGACGTCTTGTGTGTCTGCACGAGTAAGTACCGCCAACCTGCCTATTTCTGCCGTGAAGCAGTGAAAAAAGGACTTTTATTAAAAACAAAACGTTGATATCTTAGTTAAATATGTATAAAAATAAATGGCTAATAATTGACCTAATCGTTTAATATTTTTATACAAACGACTACATATCGGTTATTTATATTCACTTATATACCTTTGACCAATGAGACCGACTTGCTTGGGACGAGGTATTAGTGGAGGTACTAGTGGCCCGAAGGTCTTTCCAGTTTCACCGAGACATGTGGGTGAGCACGGGAGCAGCCAGGAGGAATGGGATTTGTTAACAGCAAGATCCGGCAGTAATTCAGCGCGGGCTGATGTAGGCGGCGATGCGTACAGTTGGCAGCGAGTTGGTAGTTAGGGCTCCATGAAAAACTAACTTTAATCTGACCTGTAAGAAAAAAGTTATCCTTACCAATTAGCAACTGTAGCTTAGCTCAATCTGTACGAATAAAATAATAATATCCTTAATATCAGCTCGATATCTTCTCGTTGGATCTCCGCAGGGTCGTGATCCGATGGTAGATACGCTTGAAAAGTATCTGCTCCTGAACTGTTAGGATTCTTTAGGAGGTGCCGGTTAGTTGGTTCTTGGCTGAGCCCGAGCTCGTCCATCGGTCTTGGTGAAGCTGGAAAGGTCGCCTGGCCACCAGTAAGTCTTTTTGTTCAAATGTGGACCTATTTTTTATTAACAAATAAATTCGTCAAGTATAACTTTAAATGATCACATATTATAGCTTACAGTCATCATTAATATTGTTCTGTATCGTCATTACTACACTTACGCTGGTGATTGTTAAACTTGTTCAGCTTTATCATCACTGTACACCGGTCACCTTGTGTCAGGTGCAGGTACAATCAGGTTCCCGGTTCACAAGAATAAGGGCACTAAAGTCAATAGCCAGTTTTTGGATACTGCCCTGGTGATGTAGGTACAGTTTGCGTTGACCTATAACCAATACCGTCTTTATCATAAGGGCACACGGGGCCTGTGCCCAGGGCCCCCATTCTCAGGGACCCCCGAAAGACCGACAATTTCTCTCACACGTTTATTCTCAAAACATTTTTGTCGGGCACATTACACTTTTTTCACAAATCAGTAATCAGAAGGTATTTACAAGGCATATACTATGACTATGATAGAAGATTTTGCTCAACAGAAATCCCGAAAGAAACCGTTATCGAAATCGTAACCAAAAAAACCAGCATCATTCTAATATCATTAATGACATATTATATCATACTGTATTTGTTTACCTATAATAAATGGTCTCAAACTCAGTAAAAAAATGATTATAATTCGCTTTTTTTACTTTCCAAAAGAGCCTCAAATTCTTGTGTGCCCAAGGGCCCCATCCTATTTGTTGGACGGTTAAATTTGAGGGGATTGGGTTCTGTAGGTGATGAGGGGCTATTTAAAAACACAAATGCTTCATTATAATTATATTGCAGATAGCTTGAACACTTTTACACCATTATACAATTATTATCTTTATATTTTTTATAAAACTATTACATGTTTGTCTTGCCGTGTCTAGATGAGAAGTTCTGACATTTTCTTACGAGAATACAATGATCTGTTTTTTAAACATTTAAAATAATTCCAATATTCGAAATCTAATCAAGTGTCAAGTGTTGCCTGCCATTACATTTAATATACAAACTCCAACACTAGTTTAAGACGTCCCTGCCTATAACTTAATATTAGCATGGGTTGTATTACGTTTATACAATAATGACGAACAACATAAGCAATAATTTTTATTTTCGTCAGGAGCTGTATCAAAGCTTAAGCGGGACGCTTTGTGTAGGTCCTCGTAAAATCAGCTCCTAGGTTCTTAACAATTATTTGTTTTCGGCATTTCCAGTTCGAGTTTTATACGACGTACAGTCGATGACGCAATCGATTTATTTATAAAAAACTGTTTTCTCCAAGCACATAATAAACGTTAACGTAACATAGCCGCGGAACGACATCTTGTTCAGCACTGACATCAAATACTTTGCAACAATGTGGACGAGTCAGTAGTAGATTTCACGAGCTCCTTCATAGATGCATTCTAAGTAATTCTAACACATGAGTTAGTAAGTAATTACCGATATTGACGTGGTGTAGGAACTCTCGATTGGTTCTGGAATTGCTTCAGTTTCGCGTTAAAATATTTAAAAAAAAAGATTCTTGATGTGACACTGGAAGGTTTGGTGGTGGAAAATGAATCATGAACGTGTAGGGAATCGTTTTTAAGTCTTACAATAAAACACGATTTTTCACTACCTACTGACAAATAATTTTAGTTTGGTGTTCAACAATGTCTTTTCGAAAATTAAAATAAGAATAGAGGTAAAAACCATAAGAGGTACATTAATAAAGATCGTATCCCGTACGGCCTCTTTTCACATTTACTCTAAAGAAGGACATTTTGTACATTTTGTACAGGATGTAATGGAAAAAGGAAGTAACAGGATCATCTTAAACAATTCCCTTCTCAGAATTTATCGGATGTTAAAGGTCCCAAAGCTGAAATGGCATTAAGGTACCGTAACAGCAATGGAAAACAATATTGGAAGCAAAGAAAAAATAGAAATAAGTTTTTGTAATCTTTTATTTAATGAGTTTACGACACACCAAATTAAAGGAATTTTTACTAACTTGGACTTGCTATATTAAACTTTTCAAAGTTTCAAATCCGTTTCAAAGTTTCAAATAAGAATATGCACGTCAATGACCTCGATCTGTCAAAGTTCTAAAAATATGAACAGGAACAAAAAAAAGTTTATTTTCTTTTTTTTATTGAATTTTTCCCTAATTAAGAAAACTATTAATACGTTTGTTTTAATGAAACATACACACCCATATAATTTTCTTGAAATGTTGAGTACTGGTCGAGGTAAATTAAACCTATTTAAAAATCAAGGCTGCAACACTGTCGGGCCCTATACTCTATGTAAGTTATTTTATGACTTGGTAACTAAGACCTTTAAGTCATGTCTTATTTTAATTTATATTCTTATTTTTATGTATAATCTATGGATGGGTGACGATGATGATGATTACTGACTTTTGGCNATGATGATTACTCAAGCGGTGGAGTGAGCGGAATAGGCGAACCCGAAGATTTTGATTTTTTTATAATAATAAATTTAAAAATTCCTAACTTTTTTACTGACTTTACCTATTTTTTTCGATTTGACAACTACACGATTTGACGACACAATACCTATGGCGCAGGTCCATGCAAGTTCATATTTGAAACGCATTATACATCGTCTTAATAAGTATGATAACTATGGTGCACTGCCCATATACTTAAAATGATAAAAAATCCACCACGTTATTACGGATCCTCCCGATCCGTTAACGGTGCTTTTAGGTACTTCAAGCACAGGTCACCGTCCTCGCCGAACCCGTCGCCTGTGACGAAGGGCTCGACGAGTAAATTGACCCATTGACACGGCCCACTGAGTTTCTCGCCGGATCTTCTCAGTGAATCCCGTTTCTGATCCGGTGGTAGATTCTGCGAAGCACTACTCTTGCTAGTACAGGTAGTTTTCCTATTACAGAGCATAATGCGACTCAGTGACGCACAATGCCGAATTATGCTGAAGCTTAGTTGAGCATTATGCCGCATAATGCGCTCTTTTGCTGTAATTGGAAAACTACCACAGTGTGCGACCTGGATTTTCTCATCCGATTTACTCGCGTCATCCGTTTGGAATGGCAATATCCAAATTCTAATTGGTAGGAAGTCCACTGGTGTGACGTAAGGTCGTCCTACTGACATAATGCAATAAATATAAATAAAAATCTAAATTACGACTTTCGACGCAAGTTGGCTCACTCAACAAAGCATTACGATTCTGGTGATGTTACGCTTAGGCAAAGGCTGTCCTGATTTATTCAGCTACAAAGCTTCGTTTGAATGAAGAACATAGTCGGTTTCTAATTTAGAATGAAAATGAAAATTCGAAGAAGATTGGTGTCTATGGACTACGATAATTTCATAACCGAGCTTAACTCAGATGTAAGCTTTTCTAGCAATTCCGAAAAAACGTAATTGCTTATCAAATCTGCCTTAAAGAGATTCTAATAGCTCCTTAATTGAAACAGCTTATGTTAGTATACGCAGTCAAATTCATAGTTTTTTTTCCTGTCATAAAATGAAAAAGAAAGAGGGCTCTCATTCCAAGGCATGTTTTTTTTTCACAAAATAAATCAAAGTTGTAATGAACTTTTAGTTTCTTTTACTTCAACTATCTGTTTTAATTTTTCAGAAAGACTATCTCATATTTTTATATTCTAGTAACTTGACGAAAAATCGATAATGTTGCCAATGCTTAAAATATTTTGCTGATTTATTTTTAGACGTAATGCTTTCTTGCCAAAAGGATGCATTTTCATTGACAGCTTATCATTACATCTGTGACAACAGTATGAATAATTGTATGGTTTGATATGCAATTAAGTACTTTATTGCAATTCGGCAATACGAACTAGATGACACTGTGTGACGTAGTAACCCGTCCACAATTTTTGTAAACACGCTTGTCGGAATACATAAATTCGAATAGGTACATACATACATAGTTGAATAGGCTATTTAGTATTTATTGCGGAAGTAATGGCTTCCAAATTTTAATTGTGGATTTAATTTTGTCAGTAGTAATTAAAATTAAATTAATCTAAACATTGTTTTTTTCTATTAAAAATATTGCATTATGTGAATAAGTCGGCTTACACATTGTGAAGCCGCGTCCTGTATGATAGTTTTCAAAGAATACGATTTAAAACAATAATTAAATTGACAATGTAACTTCCTTATGTATAGCTAAATATCGAAAATAAGAAATGTGCAAGTAAGGTAAACAAATGCGTCCACCGTTTCTCTGAAGGATGCTGTGAAAATGCCTTCACACTCTAGGCACACACACTGTCACTGATTTACAAGTCAAGAAACTATTGCCATGGATGGTACCGGCGGAGTAAATGCTGTAAAGAACAAAATGAAAGGACGGATTCAGGAAGAAGAAGAAGAAGAGGAATCCGAAGAAGAGATGCTAGAGAGTGAAGACGAGGACGAAACCATAGCTAGAATACAACGAGCTCATTATGCACAAGTGGCTGCTATGAATCCTCGAAGACGTGCATCTACAAAACCGAGGCCAATGAGTATGAAAAGAAAAATGGAAGCAGTTAAAGCTTTTCACGATTTCACTAAAAAGTTCAAGCAGGATACTGGTATCCGAATACGCAGCTTAGCTGGTAATAATGTATTAGAATTAAGTGACTTTTCTAGTGATAATAGTGAATCAGATAGTGATGGTTTATCAGAGGAGGAATTTGTTGTGAATCCCAGCGCAGTAGAGGAGTTGAAGGAGGAAAATGAAAGTTACTTAGATCCTGAAACTGGTGATATTGTGGAATCTAAGCTAAAACTGTATGATACTAAGAAAAACAGTAATGAGGCACAAAAGTCAGATGTAGATAGACAAGAAGAGCCTAAAACGTTGTCAATCAGTGATATCATAAATGAAAGTGAACTAGATCTCACAAAAAATGTTGAGATATCTGAAGTTGATGAAGGTGAGCTGTGCTCAGAGAAAACAGCCGAGGAACTTTTGGGTCAAATTAAATCAGAGGACAATAGTCAGGATTTTGATGTATCAGACAAGATGAATGAAATAGGTGAAATAATTGAAAAGGCAGATAATAAAAATGAAGCAGGCGATGAAACATCACAATCTGATGGAAAAAAAATTGATGAATGTGATGAGGTCAGTTTATTTTATTAATTATATTAAAAAATATGCTATTGATGTAATGTAATATTTAATCCATTTATCTTCTTCATTTAGTATCATATGAAAGTAAAAGAATTGTTAAATTTACAAACAAATTTCTTAATAATTTATGTAGATTACTTTAAATATTAGATTTTTAACTATCTGGCTATTTTATCATAAGATATTTCATATTGAAAAGAATAAGACATTAGAAAATAATTTGAATTGAACGAGATCACTTATTGTTGCATCATGCAGTTGATGGTGATTAATATTGTTTGTTTATATTATCTTTAGTCAGTTATGTACTTTTGCCAATTATGGTAATATAATCAAATGTGTTGATTGTAATTTATTTTCTTGAAACCTATTACTTAATACTTTCAAATCCTACCAGTGTTAGTCATGAATGTATGCTGGAAATAGATAAAAACTCTACCATAGAAATTATGTTAAACTGAAAAGTTTTAAATCATGGTGATGCCCATTTTCCTTTCATTTTGAATTCATTAAACTTATATTAATCAAAACTTATGTTAGACCATACCGAAATTAGGAATTCTCATATTATATGAATAATGTAAATTCTAAAATTAATTGAAAAATAAAAGTCATAGAACACTACATTATAGCAAAAACCTGATTTATTTTATGATAAGCTGTAACACTGCTTAAAATAGAATAAAAAATAAATAAACATATTAACAAAATATAGCAATTAGTTATTTTATAAAATGAAATCAAAACTAAAATATGAATTACACTAGATTTGCTGTTATTGTTTCTCTAAGTTAAAACAATTGAATGTTAGAGCTAAATATCTTTTACATGAAAATGGACTACCTACTTTTGCGACATGTTACTAGTTTGTCGAAAAGAAAAAAATATATCATAAAATAACACTGCATGATTTTGACTTTCAGAAAAAGCAAACAAATCCTAATGCCTTGAATGTACGTCGTAATATTAGAGAAGTCATGGATGAGAAGAATCTGGATGCATCAACACTAGCTGCTCAGAGGCAGGAGTCTGAACGTTTGGCTCGTGTACAGGAACAACAAAGAATTATTCGAGAGGTAGTATAATAAACTGTTCCTTCGCCTGTTACATACCTCAAATAATTATGGATTCCTACACCAATCGAAATTATTTATTATTTATAATGAATAAACTAAAATATAGATAGATAGAATATAGATAGATTATACATAATAATACAATTATTCTAATCAGGTGAAACCACAGAAATAACAACTTTGACTATTGCACCTAGGGTCTCAATTTGAATTTACTCAAATTCTATAATTTTTGTTAAAGATATATAACAAGGATAAGATTCAGGTAGTCATATCACGTGTATGCTTCCAGCATACCAATTGTAATACGAGGAAATATAAGTTAGGCCTTGTTGAATAAGCAACATTTAAAAACATTTAAAAACTAGGCAGACGAGCGCACGGCCCACCTGATGGTGAGTGGTTACCGTCGCCCATGGACTTCAGCAATGCCAGGGGCAGAGCTAAGCCGCTGCCTACCGCTTAATACTCTCCACAAGCCTCGTTTGAGGAAGGACATGTCATAGCGCTCATTTACAATATTAGAAGCAATCACTTTCATGCATATTAATAAAATTACCTCCTTAATCCAGGTACAAAGACAAATAGCTATTAATAGACAAAACAAAATTCATCAGAAGACATTATCATTATTACAAGGAGGTTCATCAATATTAAAGAAATCAATGGGAGGACAGAAATTAAAGTAAGTTCCACACACTCAAAGCTTTGTTAAATTTTTGTGTCTGATGAAGAAACAATATTATTCTTTTAAATCTCCAGTTTACCGAATACAGTATTAGTGAAGTTGCCATCGGGTGAAGTTAAAAAGACAACAATGAAGCAAGGGCAGGTTGAGATGATGAAAATCCCTAAACCTACCACATCGAGTGCTGCTAAATTAGGAAAATTTGATCAAAAAACTGAGAAAAAAGAGGTTGGTATTTTCAACAACTATGTAACTGATCTTTTATAAATTCTCTGTGCATCAACATGTATCTTATGCACATTTAAACATTTATTAGATTAATAAATAATAAATAATTTAATACATAAACACTTGTTTACGAAATGAAATTGTTGATACATGTTCACATCAAATAAATAATCCATAAACAAGTAACTTTATCTAAAGTATTGACTATGCAAAGCCAACTGTGATCATGACTGACAAAAAAGGAAATAAAAATAATTAATTTTTTATAGAGTACATAGTATTGAGATGTTTAAACTGCAAAGTTATATTTATGACCATAAATCCATAAATATGCAACATAATTAACTTTTTTTTTTTTTGGGAATTTCCAGGTTGTTGAAATTGTTGACAGTAGCAGTGGTGAAGAGTCGACATCGTCTTCATCTGATTCTGATGATTGTATAATGCTATCGGATTCTGAAGTGCCACCTAGTCCAGAGGCAGATGAGGACCCTAACAATTCAGGTTTCTATCCATTCCTTTAAGATTCTGCATAGTGTAAAAACTGAGGTTTCTTCCTTAAAGTAATTGAACTGAAAAAAGCTTACGAAAATTTATTCATACTGTAGCAGCATGTGCCTAAAGAAAATGATTTTTTGTTTTTTGATCTTCCAATTTTAATTCTATAGATTTCTTACATTTTAATACATTCTACTAATAATTATGAATAACTATTAAATATATAACAATAATTAGTCATTATCTAATAACTCATTGAAGGTTAAAAAAAACATCTGAATTTCAGGGCTCCATGTGAATGATGTGTACAATGTGCCTGATGAACAAGGCCGAGTACTCATCAACATTGGTCATCCAGAAGCCGAAGAAGACATATTCTTGGCCCCACAAATAGCTAGGGTTATCAAACCACATCAAGTACGTATTAATTTAAAAATAATTTTATACAATTATTTATTGGTTTTATATTAGCGAAATCTATATATTTATTAATACGTGAAGCAAAAACTTTGTACCCCTTTTTACGAATTGCGCAGACGGAGGAGTATGAAATTTCCCTCACTTATAGAGAATAGATGATGACTGAGCTTTGCTCGTTTTTTTTTTGATAACGCCATCTTGTTGTGTCTTTAAAGCGGTTAGTTGCCCTCAATTAAGAAAAATAGTATTATTATTCGCCAATAGATGTCGGGAAGAGTTGATTATTGAAAACACGAATAAAACAACATTTTCTGAAAATAAATCGTAGCTAGATCGATTTATCGCCCCCGAAATCCCCTGTATACTAAATTTTATGAAAATCGTTGGAGCCGTTTCCGGGATTCAGATTATAATAATATACACTCGGGTGCAATGAAATCGCACATCTGTACATTTTTTGAAAAATATTATTTACTTCTTTTAATAAAAAAAAAACATATATTTTTTAACATAGGGTTAAAGGTTAGTTCAATACCTATTCAATGATACCATATAAGTGGAGATAAGGTTAATTTCTTGAGGAAAATAAAATACAACAACAATTTAATCTTTATTACAAAATGATTACTCAACTAAACCGTTTAAAATTTGGGGATTAATAAAAAAAAAAAACACAAAAAATACTGAAAAATCATTTATTAGTAACAAGTATTGCCCCCTCTTGCCCGAATTACAGCTTCACACCGATTCCCCATCGACTCTATCAAGTTTCTGATAAAGTCTTGTGGCATGGCGTCCCATTCCTCTTTGAGCGCATTTTGTAGCTCCTGGAGATTAGCTGGAGCACTATTTCGACCTCTAATTTTTCTTTTTAATTCGTCCCACAAGTGTTCAATCGGATTAAGGTCCGGGCTCCGAGCTGGCCACTCCATCACGGGTACATTTACTTCTTGTAAGTATTGTCTCACTATCGCAGCGGTATGAGGTCTTGCATTGTCATGCATAAAAAGGAAGTTACTTCCAATTAAACGGCCAAATGGTACGACATGTTCTTGTAGAACTTCCTCTATGTATCGTTGAGATGTTAGACCTCTTGTTTGTCGCCTAATATTGGCCCCAACGATGAAGACAAGCTCTGTTTTTCGTTCGAGTGAGATACCTCCCCAGAACATACACGAACCACCGCCGTATGCTACACGTTCTGTGATGCAACATTGGGAAAATCGCTCTGAGCGCCTTCTGTAGACCCTTCCTCGTCCATCATTATCATGAAGACACATTCTGGACTCGTCTGAGAACAGGACTGCTTTCCACTGGTCGGCTGTCCAGTTGACGTGTTCTTGTGCAAATCGAAAACGAGCCCGGCGCTGAGCTGGCGTCAATTTAGGGCCATTTGCTGGCCTATGCGCAGTCAAACCACCTTCGGCAAGTCTCCTTCTGACTGTCCACCTACTGACTACCACTTCATGCACCTGTTGAAGCTGCTGCGCAAGTTCAACGGCAGTCAAACGACGATTTCGCAACGCTGTCGTTACAAGAAATCTGTTGTCGCGCTGTGTTGTAGCTCTTGCTCGACCAGATCCTCGTCGCCTTTCAAAGCCACCAGTCTCCCGATAGCGCTGGTACACACGACGAACTGAATATCGGTTGGTATTCAGTTGTCGAGCTACAGCACTCTGGTTCTGGCCCGCTTCAATTAGAGCGACGACTTGAGCGGCTTTTTCCGGAGTAGTATCCATCTTTTTCAGACAAATGCAATTGGAGTCACTAGAGGTCTTATCAGGTTAAGCGTTGGCTTGCAACTGATGACGTTTTACACAAAACATGCCTTTTTATACCTGCAGTTGGTCTTGCAAACTGNGATGACGTTTTACACAAAACATGCCTTTTTATACCTGCAGTTGGTCTTGCAAACTGCAGTGAGTTGAGGGAGCAATTTTTGGAGTTTGCTGTTGTCGTTTTGTTTCAGCAGGCAGGTAAACTTATCATGTCTTATGTGGTATCATTGAATAGGTATTGAACTATCCTTTAACCTTATGTTAAAAAATATATGTATTTTTAAATAAAAAGAAGTAAATAATATTTTTCAAAAAATGTACAGATGTGCGATTTCATTGCACCCGAGTGTATATATACAAGAATTGTTCGTTTAAAGGTATAAGATATAGAAAAGAAGTGCACAAAGCTAATATTTTTCAAAAATTCGTTTTTTAAAAATATAGTCGTATTTTTAGACGAAGCCAGCTGACAGTAGCTAATGTCACTTTGTAAAATAATGTTGTTATATTTAAAGTAATAGTGATGCGGTCAGTTCTCGTTCAATCACATGAATGAAAAATGAGTGTGAAGAGTTAATAATTTCAAACTATAAAAGAACATTATTTCTATTTTACAATAAAATTGTATTAAAGTGCTTCAATATATGTTACTAGTAGTATGTAACTACAATCAGTTTTTTTTATTTTCATTACCTACATATAATTGTTATATTTTATACATCTATAGTTTCAACTATATGATGTATTGAAAATAGTACAGTCTTACAAGTTTCCTCGCAATGTTTTCCTTAATGTTTAAAACACTTGGTATTCAGTATAGGTAGGTACTATAGGAACATAATCGTCGAAAACTCATTAGTATGTACAAAGCACGACTAAAATTCGAACCCCGTACCCGATATCGGCAGTTCGGCATACTAATTATTCACTANTATAGTTTCAACTATATGATGTATTGAAAATAGTACAGTCTTACAAGTTTCCTCGCAATGTTTTCCTTAATGTTTAAAACACTTGGTATTCAGTATAGGTAGGTACTATAGGAACATAATCGTCGAAAACTCATTAGTATGTACAAAGCACGACTAAAATTCGAACCCCGTACCCGATATCGGCAGTTCGGCATACTAATTATTCACTAGACAATTCAGGCAATTTCATTAATTCAGGAGTTTTTTCAATCATTCACTTTGCCACAACACTATTTTTATTTCATCAAAAACTGACAACACAGTAAACGTCAGTTGACTTCGTCGAATTAAAAATACGACTATAGAAAAGAATTGCAGAATGCTAATATTGTTTTAAAATTATGCATTAAAAATATATTAAATCAATAAAGAAAACATTACACACACTACATTTGACACACATACATATATACTCTTTGTGTATTATGTATTGTGAAACTTTTGTTATTCTTTAAAATGTGGTCAAATTGAGAATAGATTAATATTTTTTGTCTTTAACATTATTTATATTATTATATATTAGTGTACTTTTGGCGAAATCTGAATTATATAGAATATATTAATATCTGTATTATTATAAAAGTATAATAGTGTTTGACAATAGAACCATAATAATGTATAAACTTTTAATTTCAATTAATTATAGTCGAAATTCGACTACTGCGGGGACCACTAGTATATATAAAATAGGACAGCAGTACCAACTCTGCAGTCTTAAATAGCACCGTTTAATAGCAAGTAGCCTAGTGTGCTGGTAGATTACTTACCCATCTTGATATTAGAAAAAAATAGAGGTTTTCATTGCACACAAAGTCCTTGAAAGTTACAAAATATTCCAGATTGGTGGTGTAAGATTTCTATTTGACAATATAATTGAATCAGTAGAACGATTCTCAACATCAACGGGCTTCGGTTGTATCCTGGCTCACTCCATGGGCCTCGGGAAAACACTGCAAATAGTATCTTTCTGTGACGTGTTTCTAAGGCATACCAGTTCGAAAACCGTTTTATGTATAATGCCAATAAATACACTTCAGAACTGGGTAAGTGATATCCAATATTTTCGTCAAAACTTAATTGCAGCTTTCCTCAATGTCTAAACTTATATTATAAATGTGAAAGTGTGTGTTGTTTGTTTGTCCTTATTTCACTTCGTAACGAAACAAAGATTTTTTTAAATGATAGTGTTAGGTCAAGAAAGTGACATAGGCAAACGTTTATCCCAAAAAACATTTTATTTCCACGAGCAACTACACTACACTTTTGAGCTTGCTGCCAAAGCCGCAGAGAACATCTAGTTTTATATAATTTGTAAAAGAAAATTCGTATAAAATGTTAGAACACTATTACATGTCGAATTTCAGGTTGCAGAGTTCAACATGTGGCTGCCTTTAGATCCATCAACAAGTTCACTATCGGCCCACGGCGAAGTCCGATCGAGAAACTTTCCAATTTACGTTCTAAACGATAGTCATAAAACTTTACAAATGAGAGCGAGAGTTGTTAAGGTAAAGTTTATTTTAAATCCACTTTTAGCTGGTTACACTTGATAAGAGTGAAAAGGCTCAAATATCATATATAAAAGTTCTGATTTTATTTTTATGAAGTGATAAAGGTTAAATAAGAAAATTAAAGAAAAAAACGATAGATTAGTAGGTCTCTACTTAACCTTTATCAATTTTGACAATAATAAACTAATTACTTTCTAAGTAAAGTTATCAATCAACTAATGTACTTTATTATTTTTAGGACTGGACGACAAGTGGCGGTGTACTTATGATTGGTTACGAGTTGTACAGATTGCTTAGTTTAAAGAAAGATAAAAAACCAAGGAAGAAGAGAAAAGCTGACGATAAGAAACAAGAGAAGGAGGAGAAAGAGAAAGATGACAAGAAACCTGAAATAGGCAATGAAGATACTCAAGTAAGCAGTTTTATCTGCTTATTACACTGTATCTATCTATATTATATTATACTGCATTGTACTGTATCAGAAGTCCGTAAAGTTTATAATAAAAGGTAATGTATTTAAATAAAAAATGGCGAGTTAGAAAACACTCAAGACTGACTCAAGGATTTACATTTCAAATTCGATTATTTCGAACGCAAAAACTGCGATTTTGGTGAGATTAAGCTTCATTTACCGCGCTGTTATAACGAATACTGGAGATGACATTATGAAATCATTTGTTAACGGCGCGAACGCGAAGCTTTCTCTTGTATTTTCTATTTTATCGGTTTGCGGAATGGGATAGCCGATGTACATAATATATAGAATACAATTAATACATCCACCTCAATTATTAAGTGAGTGGCGGCGTACAAATTGTGACAGCTGAAGACTCTGGCAACCACTTAATAACACTTGAGACAAGAGATTGTCCACTCAACTACAACAAAAAAAAAACCTTGAATTATTTTCATCATTAATAAATTATTGTGTGTAAATTGATTATCAATCTCCCACTATTAATGTTCAGTGAAATCACAGAATGTTAAAGTAACTGGCAAAAAATATAAATCTTTGAATTGTAAAATTATATGTATATTCAAAAGACATAGGTTAAATTAAAGCATATGAAACAAATTTTTGCAGAACTCCGATATTACGAATCTATCTAAAATGTCCGACGAATCAAAACTGGATAAAGATGACGGCGATGGACAAATTAAGACTGAATCTGAAATTAAAGATGAACTAAAAAAAGACGAGAAAAAAGAAGACACACCCACCCATGAAGACAAGAAACTTTTAGATGGTAAGCTTATTTTGTACTGTTTACTAAAATCTTATGTTTAGCTACTGCTACTGCACTCAAGATATTCATCTAGAGCAGGGGTTCCCAAATTTATCTTGTCTACTGCCCACTTTAAGAATAAACTATTTTTTAGTGCTTTCATTTTTTCACCTACTTAAAAACCACTATAACAAGAGCTCAGTGGTGTCTAAGAGCCCCTAGATGAAATTACAAATTGTCTCCCTAGTCTAGAGGCTAGTTGTGTAGAAACAACGCCCCCATTTTTTTCTAGGTCTCTTACCGCCCCCTTTAGGCCTTCAGCACCCACAAGGGGGCGTTATCGCTCATTTTGAGAATGATTGATCTAGAGCATTAAAAAAAACTCAAATTTCATTCCTAAAGCGCATTTGTATTACTGATAAAGATATTCGTTTTTACAGAAATGTACGAAGCGTTAGTACGTCCTGGTCCTGATCTGGTCATATGTGACGAAGGCCACAGAATTAAGAATTCACATTCAAACATATCTTATGCTTTGAAACAAATGCGAACAAAGCGTCGTGTTGTACTTACAGGTATATACGAGCTAACTTTTATTATTGATCTTCATTATAAATATATCATTGTCTTCCAGTAACAACTTTAAATGTGGTTATACATTATGCAAACTAATAAAAACTGAAATTGTTATGAAAACCTAAACTTCAAACGAGGCTTGTGGAGAGTATTAAACGGTAGGCAGCGGCTTGGCTCCGCCCCTGGCATTGCTGACGTCCATGAGCGACGGTAACCACTCACCATCAGGTGGGCCGTATGTAATAAAAAAAAACATTCATAATTTTTTTTTTTTTTTCTCTTTTCCTAAGATACAATAAAATGGCCTTTAAAAAATTATCGCCTTATTTAGGTTAATAAATAATTTAAAAATTTAACATAAAGTAAATACATTGTGTATCAAGAATAACAATGTCTCCACTGCCTATTTTTTATTGTGTATTAGGATACATCCTAATACACAATAAAAAATGTCTACAGACACAACATTGACTTTCACATATAACTCTTTATGCAGTGATAAAATTTAAAAATAAAATAATTTAGTTTTTGTTTGTTAAAAAAACAAAGTCGTGCTTTAAACGACTCTGAATTTTCGACTATATTTTTATATTTGTATATTTTAACTATAATTCCAGGTTATCCGCTACAAAATAATTTACTTGAATATTGGTGCATGGTGGATTTTGTGCGTCCCAACTATCTCGGAAGTAAGACTGAATTCTGCAATATGTTCGAGAGGCCGATACAAAACGGGCAGTGCATAGATTCGACACCGCAGGACATAAGGCTAATGAGATACAGGGCCCACGTACTGCACTCGCTGCTTGTTGGTTTCGTGCAAAGGTAATATTGTCGTTTGATTGTCGTGTAGGTCACCGGTGCCCTATGCGGCGCACTGAAGTAATTACGTCATCGTGTTACTAAGCGCCTGAATTGCCCTTAGCTTTTCTTTTGAATGTATGTTTTAATCTTTTAGTTCTCTTAGAAATACATTCATTCTATGTAACTTCGGATTTGTCTTTCCTAGAGATAGATATTCCGCGCCTTTGTAAAAAGATCGAGGAGAAAGGTCGACATAATTACTTGAGTGCGCTAATTCAGGGCACCGGTGACTTACACGGCAGTAGAAGGTTTAAAAGTAATCGACTGTTAAAATTGGCTCATAAGTCAGTTTTTAACAATATCTACAAACATTAGTATAATATAGTGATTTTATTGAAGCAGTGTTTAAATCAGCTCAACTTTTGTGAGTTTGGTACAGATGCTTAAAACAAATTTCATAAAACTAATGGCAGTTATTATAACTTAATATAAACTTTAATTTATATTAGTATATAATATATAGTATACAATATAAAGTATAATATATAGTATATATAATACTAATAGGCAGTTAATATAAACTTATGAAAATTAGCCAGTCTACTTTATTAATTCTTTCGAATAATGTGTTTAATAAAATTCATAAAGACAAATTTCCTGAAAGCTTGAATTCATAAGTGACACAGAGTCCGGTATAATTTTTTTTCATAAAATTCAATGTAAAATGTTTAATTTGCCCTTTTCAATAAACAGGCGTTCACACGCAGTCTTACAATCAACGTTGCCCCAGAAGGAAGAATACGTTCTGTTAGTGCGTATGACGTCATTACAACGTAAACTATACGAAAGATTTATGAACGAAGTCGTTCGTTCTACATCTGTACCGAATCCATTGAAAGCATTCGCTATTTGTTGTAAGGTAAAGTTGCTTTTTGTTTATCATTTCAGTAGATTATGAATCTTTTTAACCGACTTCAAAAAAGGAGGAGGTTCTCAATTCGAATTTTTTTTTTTTATGTTTGTTACCTCATAACTTTTGACTGGGTGAATCGATTTTGATGATTCTTTTTTCTATGAGAAAGCTGACGCTTCCCGTGTGGTCCCATTTTAATTTAGTCCAATTCTCATAATGGTATCCATGAGAAAACCATATGAGTCCTAAATTTGCATTAAGTATGTGCGCGACGAATAGACGAATAACTCAATAACTCAATACCACGCCAACAGATTTCGATGATTATTGTTTTTAGTGTATATTCATTTGTTTTGGAATATCTTTTTTTTTCTATTTGAAGTCTGTTTTTGTTAAAGCATGTATATTTACAATTATTATTGCAGTGATGTAAATAATGCTGCTTTAATTTCTAATAGATATGGAATCATCCAGATGTTCTATACAATTTCCTCAAAAAACGAAGTGAACTAAATGCAGCCATCGAAGAAGATTTGGACTTAGAAGAGTTACGAGGTGTCACGAAATCAGGTCGCCCTAGGAACAGTAAAGCACAACCGCGACGAACGGGTAAAACACGAGTAAGTCTTACAAATTTCTACAACTTATTCTTACATTATTTCGAATAAAAAAAAATAACTCCCTATTTATATACAGGGTGCTCCTAAAAAGCCAGCAGCGACAATACCACCTAACACCACCGGTCCATCTTCACGGCCAGACTCCAATGCTTACAATAATCCACCATATCCGCCTAATGGACCATATGGACCACCGAATGCCTACCGATCCGATACCTCAAACGGCTCTTACCCACCTTACCCTAATTACCAAAACCCTGGACAAGGTTATTATCCGCCGAACCAGAGTTATAATCAGAATTACGATAGCAATTATTATCAACAACAACAGGCGCCGTATGGAAATAATTATCCTAATCAATATCCACCAAACAACCCTGATTGTAATCAAGGGTACAATCAAAATTACTGGGGCAACGGTAACTATTACGGAAATTCGGGTTACTACAATAACCCTCAATATCCTAACAATCAGCCTCCTCCTCAACCTCAAACCCACGACTTTCGAGGTAACACTCCAGCTGAATATGAAAATTCTCAAAATTATCCACCGAATTATAACGGACCACCAACTGAACAACCATATCCTGGTGGCAATCCCGTTCCCCAATATTCGAATAATCAGGATTCATATGGAAATCAGCAGAGACCACCGTATCCCGGTTATCACAATCAACCAGGCTACTCGGAATACGATGCCAACGTCCCACCTGTACCATATTCGAATCCACCAGCACAAGGTTATCAAAACGAACAGTATCCACCGCCGCCTTATTCCAATAACCAACAATCGTTTGGTCCGAATACTCAAGCTCAGTACAATCAGTACGACAACATCAATTCAAATTTCCCGGGCTATGCCAACAATACTCTAGAAAATGCAGCTCCTGATCCAAGCGTGCCAAATCAACAACTAGTTAAAAATGAGCCTGCAACGACACCCAACTTTCCGACGAATAATATCAAATCTGAATCTAATATACCGCAAAATAGTCCCACTGCCCAATATCCGGGCTATGGTTATCCACAAAATGCAGCTTCTTATCCGGAATCTGAGAATCCTGGTTCTACCTATCCTAGTCAGTATCCCAATTTCCCACAGCATCTCGAAACTAAACCGCCTTTGGGTAGTGCAAGCTCAGGAAGTCCAATAACATCGTGGCCTATAACTGAACTCAAAACTGAAGTTGATAAGTTTAAGGCAGAAGAAATGAAGGCAGAAGTCAAATCTGAATCAGATGGAGAAGTAAAAATTGCTGATTTGGATACGAAGAAAATTGTTAAGGATGAAAAGAAACCACCTTTGAATGCGGCTGTTGTGCCGACTCAACTCAAACCTGAGCCGGTAAAGAGAAACGAAAATGAACAGAAAACTGATGCAACTAAGAGTGACGCGTCCGAATCTGAAGAAGATATTCCGAAACGAGGTAGGCCCAAAGGAAAATCGAAAGACGGTAAAAAAACCGAAAAACAAAAAGCCAAAACCAAAGCAAAGGCTAAAGGTAGAAAAGATAGAAAAATCTCCAAGGATAAAAATAACGACGACTCAGAGTCTGAAGACAGCGAGAAGGAAGAGAAAAAGAATAGAGAAGAAGAATTGGCGATGGTGAAAAAGGCCGAGGAAATGACTTATGATTGGGCTACCGAGTTACTAAAAGACTACATCCCTGGGATTATTGAGAACTCCGCAAAAATGGAACTGTTCTTTTACATTTTGAACGAGAGTATAAAATTAGGAGACAGACTGCTTTTGTTCAGCCAAAGTTTGTTCACGTTAAATCTCATCGAAGACTTCCTTGAGAGAAATTATATACCTGGAACGAATTGTCCCTGGGAAAGGAACACGAATTACTACAGTAAGATTTAAATAATTATAAATAATAATGTTAACGTATACTAATTTGATACTTGATAATTTTGGATGGTTTTAGGATTGGACGGTTCGACTCACGCTCTCGAACGCGAGAAACTCATAAACGAGTTCAATACAAATCCGCATGTGTATCTGTTTCTGGTTTCGACAAGGGCGGGCTCGTTGGGGATCAACCTCGTCGGGGCGAACAGAGTGATCGTGTTCGATGCCAGTTGGAACCCGTGCCACGACACACAGGCTGTGTGCAGAGTCTACAGGTAACATTAATCCTACTTCATATTAATTACAATTTTGACGTCCTTTTCCTCCTTGCCCTTATCCCCCCACAATATAAGGGACGGTGCAGCATCTCCTCTTTTTCCATTCAGGCTTACCACATCACACTTCTTCACCTTATCATATATCTTCTATCACACAGCTCATCCAAGTCTTTTTACGATGGCCCCTCACATTACCGTCCAATTATATATTACATACATAAATAATTTTTTTTTTTGAATATATTTCGATTGTTAAATTTGTGTTAAGCGGCGAATTGAGCAGCTGTAAAGAGTACTGATATCCATTATTTTTTAGGCCCAATAAATAAACACATTTACAATTTGCAAAACTTGACCCGATTTATTCTTCTTTTTTTTCTCCAACTTATCCCACTAGGTGGGGTCGGCACAGCTAATTTTTTTCTTCCATTAATTTCTATCAGCCGTCAGCTCAACACTCACTCCTCTCTCTCTCTTATATCGTCATTCACACACTCCATCCGTGTCTTCTTCGGTCCACCTCTTCCCTCTCTACCGATTTATTATTAAATAAATTGTATTTATACATCATTTGCCTTATACAAAACTTCGTTTTCAAGATACGGCCAAAGGAAGCCGTGCTTCGTCTATCGTTTCGTAATGGACTGCTGTTTAGAGAAGAAGATATACGATCGACAGATAAACAAGCAGGGCATGGCGGATCGCGTCGTCGACGAATGCAACCCGGACGCCGTCTTGTCTATGAAAGAAATCACGAATCTATGCTTTGATAACGACGAGAAAGTAAGCTTAGTTTTATGTAAATTTCTTAATGGTCTAGGATTCTATCATAATCATGTTAACTTATTGTGCTTCTTGTTCTTAGAAACATCATCATCTTGGTTCTGCTAATATTATGCTCCAGGAATTTAAAGATTATCTGTTGTTGTTGTTGTTGTAATTATAAGTTTTCAATATTATTTATTACTAGCCGTACTCGCCGCTTCGCTGGGCATTTAAAATTAACATTATTATTTATTGTCATTATTATTAGGGAGTCCAACACTCATAAAAATATTAGCCTATCCATTAAGTACATGTATTTTCTACATGGATATCAAGTTTCAAGTCAATCGGATGCACGGTTCAGTAGTTATAACGGAACATCCGTAAAAACAACTGTAGATTTATATATTAGTATAGATTAAGAAATTCAAATGACTGCAACTCTCTTGTTCGTTTTATAGTTTAATACTTAATGCATTTGTTCTTTAAATGCATAGCAAAAATGAATAAACGCTATGACGAAAGTACTTGAAAATATTAAATGCATTTAATTTGCTTCCTTTTCTTCTGGATCAGAGGATTCATTTTGTCTTGTCGATATCACGTGCGTACTTCTCAGCCACACGTCACTTCGTCACGTGACGTCATTAAATTATCACCTCGCAGATATCTTGCGAACCGTATTTAATGAGATTTCCTTCGATTGCAGGAAACAGACCCCAAAGATCTGTCCGAGCACAAAGATAAGTACATCGACGTGGTGATGCAAGGTATAATAGCTCAAAATGGAAAGCTCTTAACTAAGGAACCATTCCAACACGAATCTTTGCTCGTGGACAGGAAAGAGAAAAAATTGTCTAGTGCTGAAAAGAGACTTGCACAAAGAGGGTGAGTAGTGAAATATGGAAATTATATCGAAGGGTGAAAGGTTGGTCTAAGCGACATTTTTGCCACTTTACAAGAGCTACATTTAAAATAAAAAATTTGGAAAAAATATCATTAAAAAACTTCAAAAAGTTCAATTAAAAACATCTAACAGTTGATGTCAATGCCAAATAAAACGCATCTTCAATTACAAATATAAATCTCGCGTATTAATCGAAATGTCGCTTATTTAATTTTAAATAGCCTTTCAACCCTCGGTATTGTATGAAAATAAATAAATAAAACTTTAATATTCCACTTGAATTCATTATTATTTAACAAGCTTCGATGTACAGCGTATAAAATAGGACGCGCCAGCTAGATTGCTCAAACGAATTGATATTTTAAATTTGCTATTAAACAATTTGCTTTTAAAGACTTACTGGTGGTAGGACCTCTTGTGAGTCCGCATGTGTAATTACCATTGCCCTGCCTATATCTGCCGTGAAGCAGTAATGCGTTTCGGTTTGAAGGGTGGGGCAGCCGTTGTAACTAAACTGAGACCTTAGAACTTATACTTCAAGGTGGGTGCGCATTTACGTTGTAGGTGTCTATGGGCTCCAGTAACCACTTAACACCAGGTGGGCGGTGAGCTCATCCCCACCTAAAAAAAGTGAAAATTTTAACTATTAACTATAATTACTATACTTAATTAAATTATTACTGTTAATTATAATATAAATTATATTATTAATATTAAAATAATTATTATGCAATGCTTTATTAATATTTAATTATTTATACAGTCATTTGTGTTTTTAAACACAAATCATTCATTATCCTGCCCTTCTCCCAGTCACCTGGGGTCGGCGCAACATGTTTTCTCCTTCCATACTCTTCTATCATATACCATTTCTTCGCTCACACCTAGGAGTGGGTGATATAAATCGTATATAGATTCAATATCTATATATCGCAGCAATATCGTTGAATCCGATATCGCCCCGCACGAAATCTATATATCGATATCAGCCGATACACGATATTGCTCGATGTGATGCGCATCGCCATATCGTACCGATTCGTGAATCGAAATCTATATATCGATATCAGCCGATACACGATATTGCTCGATGTGATGCGCATCGCCATATCGTACCGATTCGTGAATCGAAATCTATATATCGATATCAGCCGATACACGATATTGCTCGATGTGATGCGCATCGGCATATCGTACCGATTCGTGAATATCAGCAATATTCGTTTGGTTCGTATCGAATCGGCCAGAGTGAGTGAGCGCACGATAGGGATATCATGTGATGAATGAAACAGAAACAGGCATTATCCATACAATTGTAAACCTTATATTTAAGTCCATATGTCTGTAGATTATTCTTAGCGTATCAGCAGGATACAATTAAGGAAAGAAGTTTCAACTTTCGACCCTAACTTGAATGCAGTATAGCCTATTTGCATCGTTGAATTTAATTTCACGCGCTTTGACCTTGAACTAGAATTTTTGGACAAGTGTTTATAAATACTTAAAAGTTTTTTGTGTTTGATTTTTAAAGTACACATTTTTCTATTTTTAGTTGAATCCAAATAATTGAGTTTATTTCTTGTGTTTGTATTAAACTTTTGAAATCTACACTCTTTTGGTATATTTTGTAATTTTAAATTAAGACACAAAATACTAAAAACTGAAAATAATGTAGCCAGTCCTAAGCCTGGTAAAAGCATGAAGGAAAGTTTTTTTGATATTTTTATTTTCATGTTCTTTTTATTACTTTAAGATCATATTATAAATTGATATCAGAAAACCAACCGTATAACGTTGACTTAAATCTATATCTACTACGATATTATATCAGCGTATCGTTTCAAATCTCAAATATCATGAATCGAGAAAATCTACTAGCATCCATCAATATATAGATTCAGAAAATATATAGATTCAATATCCGATATTGATCCTCGATATATAGATACGATTCGATACGCGGCAAAACCGATATTACCCACTCCTACTCACACCCCTCTTACCCATATCGTCTTTCACACAATCCATCCATTTCTTCTTAGGTCTACCTCTTCCTCTATATCCTTCCACATTCATAGTTAACACTCTCTTAACAACCTCATTTTCATTTCGTCTTATCACATGTCCATACCATCCCAAACGCGCACTAATCAGCTTCTCTGTCACAGGTGCCACTTTCAGACTTCCTCTAACATATTCATTCCGTATTCTATCCGTTCTCGTTACTCCACACATCCATCGCAACATTCGCATCTCTGCTGCATGCAATCGCCTTTAAACCTCGTTTTTAAACACAAATATAAACATTAAACATATTCTCAAAATTTTCACATCAAAACAGTGTCTGCTAAATATGAAATATGGTAGAATATCAGTTTCATCTTGATATTAATAAATAAATAATATCGTAGAATAAACTAAACTACATTATAATGTTCATTATTGCCAATAGTGGCGTTTGCGCCCATATAAACTATTTTTTATTTATTGCTTAAATGGGTGGACGAGCTCACAGCCCACCTGGTGTTAAGTGGTTACTGGAGCCCATAGATATCTACAACGTAAATGCACCACCTACCTTGAGATATAAGTTCTAAGGTCTCAAGTATAGTTACAACGGCTGCCCCACCCTTCAAACCGAAACGCATTATTGGTTCACGACAGAAATAGGCAGAGTGGTGGTACCCACCCATGCGGACTCACAAGAGGTCCTACCACCAGGTACGTTACCGTACCAATAGTTTTTTGGAAGCAGTGGAAGTTCTCTCGCACTTAAAATATTGTTGCTAAATCAGGTACGAGTTAGAAAAGAAAGCGGCTTCAGCCCCGAAGCCGACGACCGCGTATCGCACGGTGCGCACCGCCGACGGTACCATCATACAGCGGCCCGTGGCCTCGGTGCGTCCCATGCAGCACGGGGCGCGCTGGATACCGGCCGACGTGTGGCGAAGGCAGGGGATGACCGCCCAGGAAATGACTTTGCCTCAAGGTCAGTCCTAACCGTCTCTATTTAACCTTTATTTTCTCTAAACAATTTTCGCTCACTCTTTTCATTAGACTACCTGTTTGGAAAACGTATGATTAATCCGTTCTTTCTTGCCTACATAATTCTATTTAAATTAAAACGCCTTTTTTCCGATTTTTTTTTTTCATCTAGAGTCATCTTTAAATTTTGTAATTTTCAAAGTTATGACTTAGAAATCTTCCATAAAATACGTCCGTTGTATACGACGATCTACTTCATTTTCTGGTTTGATTTTTGGATTTGAAGTTTTCAAAAGTCAGTGCTGTTCTGTTTACCAGTTTATTGTGGAAAGGTCAGAGAACTTACTCGTAAAAAGTTTTAAACTGGACTATTTTACGGACGACCCCCTACTATGTTTCATAGTAAATGGTGTTATTTAATGAAAACTAGTGTTTTTTTATTATTTTATCATATTAAATAGGACAAAATGTTTATAGATGTCGTAATACCAACGAATTCGGCCGAGAAAACTAATATAGTACTAAAGGCGGGTCAACGTGTAATGGTGTTGAAGTCGCCAAAAGGTATTTACATGCAGTTGGAATCTGGTAAAATCATTGCCATCAAAACTGCGATCAAAGGCATCGGACATAAAGGCGAAGGGAAGGATAATCCAGTGGGGAAAAAAGGTATATATAACTTTATTTTTTTACTTTTTTCATTGACATGTTTTTTTAATTTGTTGGGTGTATTCTTTAACATTAAATTTTGCTATAGTTTTAGGACATCGACCATCGTCGGCAAACATACCCGGCTCTTTAAAAAACAACTCTGCTATTACCATCACCTCAAAAATTGGACCAAGGCCTGGCCTTCAACGAATTATGAGACCGTCCATGATAGGTCAGAATAAAATAGCTAGACCTATGATGCCAGGTCAAAAATTAGCTGAAATAAGAAACAGATTAGGCGAAATGAGGTCGTATGGTGCATTGCGACCGAGATCCGTTCTGGGTCAAGGTCGAATGATCAGGCCTAACATACCCGGGTCCGTCAGCATAACTAGAGTTCCAAAAGAGCCAAAGAGATTCGATAATAGAATTGACGTAAAAAACAAAGTTGAGGCGGTTTCTGATGGTGAAACACAAGTTTTGGACAGTGACGAAAACGATTCGGACGGTGGAGAAAAAGTCGTGACGAAACCGAACCGGCCGAGTAAATCGAACGCAGAATCACCAGCAGAAGCCAAAAGTGAAAGATTAAAAACTGAAGTAAAACAAAACGATATTAGAGAAGAGAAAGACAAATACAATGAAAAAAATCGTAAATCCGAACCGGGTCCTATTGTGTTAACAACTGATGAAAAGTTGCCATCCGAAGAAGTTTTAGAAACAAAACCTATTACGGATAATGCAAATGAACTACCGAAGTCACAAATAGCAGCAGTCAACGATTATATCGATTCTACACCCCGTAACGACTCAACTGAAAGAAAGACGAACTTACTTAAGAATTATAGACACCAACGTCCCGGCACCAGGCCACAGACTGAATCTAGTTTAAGTCAGCTTGAAAAAACTGCAAGCGTTTTAAATAAAGAGGGTATGCCCGATTTTAGGAAAAACTTGGACGACATCACACAGTCTTATTCACCGAATAGTGAAGAGAAGCCAGGCTCAAAGTCAAAAAAGAAAAAGTCCCCGGCCAAAGTGGAAGGTGGCAATGAATCCCTATCTAACGACGGACATCCTTCAAGTTCAGGAATGACGCACAGCGTTTCTAGTCTACTAGGCGGGATTCAATCAAAAAATAGAAAAAATGACGTTTCACTAACTGCCCCAGTCGCACCAGTTGAAAATTCTAATCCTCGTATGATGAATCGCCTCCCGATGCCGGGGATGAATCAAGATTCACCTATGACCAGTCCACATGCGTTTAACAACAAATCTGCATCGGCTATGTCGCCTCATCTAACTCAAAGCGGCATGATGGGTGCGGGACCGGGACAAACCGCGGCTGTAGACATGAGTAAAGCCGCCCAGGGTGTGCCGCACCCGGCAAGCCCGATGCCGCCCCACGTCATGCCGCCTCCGGGCCAGATATACCCGCCTGGAAATCCTCCGCCAGAAGCTCACTATGGACAATTTCCAGGTATTCATAATTCTGTTAAACTTTTAAATTATGATAAACAGGCCTAATCTTTAGTATGTAATGTTTTTAACGTTATTATTAGTACGTTACCTCACGCAGCGATCTACTCGTATCTCGTAGTATAATTAAATTCATTGATGTTCACATGTCTCGGTCTAGGGTCCCTTTTGAAAAAAAAACTTCATTTGTGTCGACAAATCTACCTCCTACATTTACTGTTGAAGTCTTTTAAAATAATATATGCATAGATTATGAGAAGTCGTTGTGGCTAAAGGATAAGACGCTCGGTTTTTTTTATGATTGAAAGATTACTGGTGGTCCTGAGGCCTTTCCAGTTTCACCAGGACAGGTAAGACGTTCGGTATACTCGTATCCGTCTAAGTCATAAAAAATATACATATTAATCTTTCCTATTACGTTCATTTTATAAACTACATGTAAAAAGTACAAAGCCTCTTACTTTTTTTATTGCTTCGATGTTTGGACGAGCTCTCGGTCCGGTGTTAAGTGGTTACCGGAGCCCATAGACATCAAAAGCGTAAATGCGGCCACCCACCTTGAGACATGAGTTCTAAGTCTCAGTTTTTACAGTACAACGCCTGCCCCACTCTTCAAACCGAAATGCATTACTGTTTCACGGCAGAAATTAGCAGTGCGGTGGTACCTACCCGTGCGGGCTCATAAGACGTTCTACAACCAGTAAACTTAACCGGCTTAGCAAATGTCTCTTGGTCTTCCCTATTATTCTTGTTTTTTAAACAACTTATTTAAGTACAAATCCTCTACTTAATAGCTAACATATGACGGAATAAGTTCTTAAGCTAGCAACACCTATACACTGATGAATTGATTTTCGTTCGTCACCTCATACGTATTGCTTAGAGCAAATTTTTTTTCGAAATTTCAAAATTTGTTTTTTTTAAATAATAGTATTAGTTGCATTTGGGTGATGATGTGTGTCGTTATGTGCAGGCTATGGCATGGGATACGGCCCGTATCCCGCCGCGCCTTTCTACGGAGGTTACGGCGGCAGTGCGGGGTACTACCCGCCGTACGGGACACCGCCCTCCTCCACCCCTACCCCTCCCTTCACTCCCCCCACACCCGCACATCCCTATCCCCCCGACTATTTACCCCCGAATCCCCAGTGGTAAATATAGAGACAACGACAACGTTATTTTTACAAATTCGTGAAATCAGTGCGTGCTGTGTGTTCGTCGAAAATTGTGATTTCCTAATGAATGAAACTTCAACGGAATTTTTTTCATAACGTTAAATAAAATGTATTCCTTTTAAGATTAGCTGTTAACGTTTTGTGAAAAATTAAATCGGACAAAAATGGTTCTGTGGAGTCTGGTGTAATGTTCAATTATTCAATTTCTTAATCGATTGGTAAAGAGTCAGCCTCATATGTTTACCATTCGATGTTCCTTATAAAATAATATCTCGTATTACGTTTAAGATGAAAACGGTCTTCCAAGCAAGTTTGAAGCTTGTACTCCACAAATTGCTGGGTAATTCTGTACTAAGAAAAAAAAACTTTCAAATCTATTCGTCACATTTCTCCGGATATACGAGATTATAAAATGGATCTCTGTCCTAATTCACTATGATCACCTTGCTGAGTCTCTCTAAGCGTGTAGCAGAATATCGAATATAAATTTTAAAATAAACATAAAATTCAATTTTGACGTACAAATTTAATTAATAATTCAAGTGCATATTTTGATAAGTACGTGGCTATGGAATGATCGATCGATGTGATATGCTGCTGATTACGTAGTATTTAAGTATAATAATAATAATCAATGGATTTAGTTTTTTTTTTATTACTTCCGCCTCCAGAACAATTTCTTCTTAATGCGTGTGGGACATAGTTCTAATTTTAAATAGTTTTTATCACTAAATGGAGGCGCTATCTTAAAATTAAGCTAAGTTAAGTAACTAATAGCCTACACGAAGTATTTATCGAGAATGTAATGTTAGATAGGTTCCCTTAGTATCGGAAGTATTTAGACAGTCGATTTACTCATTTAATCTTTTCTCCGTGATATGTATTTTACATATGAGCTACAAATGCGTTATTATATAAAACGGTAACATATTTGTTTTGAATCAATTTACAATGGAAACACGAAATGATCTGATTGTGGATTTATTTTTTATAAATTCAGGTTTCTATTTTTCCTTTGGTGTGTGTTTCGGAGTTATCAATTCATATTTTATTTGAATTACACCGTGTACTTCATTATATGTATGGATTGTCTAAATATTATAAATAAAAATGCAGAATGCTGTTTTTTTAAATTTATAAACGTACTTGTAACTCCAAAGCCTTTAATCCAAATAATAATTATTGTTTTTTAAACCTCTCGTCTCAAGGTAGGCAAACGGCATTTATTGGTACGAGCGCCGGTAAGTGTTTGTACCAACCGGGTTCATCGACGACAAAAAATCCCAAACTGGTCACAATATCCTCCGGTCACAATTATATAGTAAACGAAATAGTCTGCAAGGAGCATCTTTTAAATCAAAAACTGAAATCGGATTATCGAAATAAGTACACAATAGCTGCATTCTACATTCATAAATCTGGTGATAACAAAAAAATTAAGCTCGCTGTTCCAAGCTTTGTTCGACAGTCTTCTCCTTTGATCTGGAATTTGGAAGGTCACGTAAACCAGTAGACATATTGTTCTGCAATTATTATTTTTTTAAACTTGCAACACTTAATATATTTAATGACAGTAGTAGATTTTATGACGTTAAATAAAAAAAATATAGAGAATTTAGATCTATGAAAACAGTTTGATGACTCTGATATTATTAAGTAAGAAGTTTGTGACATGACTGATTTAATAGATACGTTCTTGTTTTATATTGATGTACTTACTCGTGCTCACCAGAAGAAAAATAGAAAATTAAATGTAAAGATTTTTAATGGCTTTATGTTTTATTTTTATTATTTATGTGTTCTATCATTTGTACAAAAATAATGTTCCATGTTAATATTCGAAGTCTTAAATTTGCTATACAATGCATTTTGTCAATAGCGCTGTATGGATATGTAATAAAGAAATCCGTAAACAATAAGTTTTTATTTTCTCTTCCTCCACTTGCTCTTCACGCTACTCAATAATATTCTAGTCTAAGGTATGAGATACCCGATGTCCACTTGTACTTTTTTACCCGATATACATTTTTAACTATCTGTGGCCTTAAAAGTCAATTCCATAATAAATGAAATTGAGCAAGACGCTTAGATGAAAAAAATATAAAAAATAAATTAAAAAAAAACCAGCTGTCGTAATCTATCTTCAAGTAATTATTACCAATAAAATTGAATTTACGAGTTGCCAAATTTATTTTTAATATACGAGAACAACGCTTGACAGTACTTTTCTATTTTTTTATTTTCCGACGTCCGTTAAATATTGTGAAGATAATAATTGCGTTAGCAATGCGAACGGTAAGCTTGATTGCTGTCGTTTCAAAACATGCCCGAGGATCAGTATTGCCTTTAAACACTTGACAACAAACAGTATTATTTTGTTTTTTTTTTTTCAACAGATTTTCCTCGACGGTACATTTGGCTCTAAACTCTTGGCATTGTTGATGGCCTGTGACACAGGCGGTGAGAATTACAGCATACAGTGAATCTTTATATATATAATTTTACTGTTCGTGTGTATGTCACTGAACTCCACGTAAACGGCTGGACCGATTTGAATGATTTTTTTTTGTATGCGCTTGGGTGGCGCCCTGGATGGTTTAGATTCACAAATCAGCCCCGCAGATGGCGCTGCAGTCGGTATCTAGGTTATTTAACAATACTGCAACTAAACGGCTGGATCGATTTGATTTTTGTGTAGGTATGTACAGGACAACGTCTGTCGGGTCCGCTAGTATTATAATAAAACACGATGGAAACTAAAACAGTGTTACAATAAGTAAAAACAAAGTTGCAAATACATATACCAATTTGCTAGTATTTACCTATTTCTGCCGTGAAACAACCATGGGTCCCAGGTGGAACAGCCGACGTTCTTACAAATGCAATTCGAGACTAAATGAATTTCGTCCCTAGAAATGTATTCTCCTATTTCCTCTCTGAATATTGACGCGTCATTATTTTTAAAACAATATAAATACACTAAGTAATAAGTTAAATTTTAAGTTATGTCCTCATATGTATTATTTTATAAGATTTATTGAAATTATTTTTATTTAACAATCTATTCCTCGTTTGTAATAATATTAGGTATAAGTACCTACATACCTCTGACAATATTTGTAATAAATTTATTTTGATCAATAACTTTGTAATCAAGTACTTAGTAATTAGTAATCTTCTAAAATTACGAAAATATTCTATTACCCGCATTTCCAGCGACAATATTTATCGAGCTTAACAAAAGAAAACCATAACACTAACATAATCAAAGTTGCACCATGATTCAATTCACTGCAACGTTCTTACGGCATGGGGAGTTGGGCCAACGCTTACTGTGACGTAGGTCACCGGTGCCCTACGCGGCGCACCGTAGTAATTATGTCGATTTCTGTTACTAAAGCGCCGGAATATGTAGTAGACTCTGGGAAAGACGAATCCGATGATAACAAGAATGAATCTTATTCTAAGAGACTTAAAAGACTAAAACGTTCATTAACGAACAAAAGAAGGCAAAGTTAGGCAACCCAGGTGCCTTATTAAGGGAAATCGACATAATAGCATCAAGCATCAAAGCAAAAAAAAAAGCATCAGTGCGCCGCGTAGGGCACCGGTGACCTACGAGGCAGTCAATGTGTTAAATAGGGGTATCAACAACATACTCTCGCTTCAGCGCCAGTCGGAGGTGAGAAATTGCTTACCAACGCTGCTATTAATAATTTTCATCGAAAAATTAATGTACCTATCTCTTGTTGGGAACTGTATGACTCCACGTCTCATTTATCTGAAACACACAGCTCTGTGACTACTTGAAATAAATACTCGTATTGAATAAGGTATCAACCGAAAATATCCAAGAAACAATATGATAAAATATGAATTGTAATTACAAATCCGCGTGTGATGTAAAATCATGATGTTATTATAACTAAGATTATGAAGTAAGAAGTCACGACGTCAGAACCAGTCGAACATTAATTAGTCTTGCCTTGTGTCAAATAAATTCAAGAACATTATTATAGTGTTGGTACAGCGAATGAAATAAAATTGATTAAATGGTATGTTCTTTTTGCCGTCTACTGTACATAAATGTTATTAAGAATATTATTTTTCAATTGGTTTCGTTCTGCGACGATTCCCAAAGATTTTTATTAATTAAAATGTATTTTTTATAATTTCTATATGTAATAGATATACCTACATACTCTATTATGTCTTATGTCATAATTTACCCTGGTTAAGGATTCATAATAAAATTAAACATTAAATAGCGGTATTTCAATCGTTTCACAACGTTTTGTTACGAATACCTCCTGTGAATAAAACCATATAGCTAGTAACATATAATAAACATCAATTAACAATTTGTAATGATTTCCTTGAAACCGGGAAATAGCCTATTGTTTCGTAATTTATAAATTATATAGGTAATTATTTTTAAGTTTAAAGTTTCGTTTGAACATCTTGATAACTGACCAAAATTTGCCGAGAAAAGATCTGCTAAACTCTAGCGATTGGAGCACTGGCATTCAAAACCGGAAAAAACCCTAAAGATATTAGGTATATTGTATACACATAAAATATAAATTGATTTATTTAGATTCTAAACAAACATTATTTGTGTAAACTGTAAGCTCACTGTTGTATAAACGTAGCCTATATTGTATTCTAATTAATTAATAAAGCAATCGAAGCAAAACAGAGGTGATCCGCTTCATAGAACACTGTTTAAAACGACTAAACCATAGACACAGTCCACTGAGTTTCATCGCCGGATCATCACAATGGGCCGCGATTCAGATCCGATGGTAAATTCTGCGAAGCACTGCTCTTGCTAGGGCTAGTGTTAGCAAATTCTCTCTGGTTGAGCCCGTGAGCTCACCTACCAGTCCTAGCGTAGCTGGAATAGCCCCCTAAACTACAGATAGGGCAAAACGACTAAAACAATTGGCCAATATTTGGCATATCGTCTCAGTCGTGTCTTATGGAAGGTTTGTAAATTTATGAATGTAGCTTGCATTCAAGAATTATTATCTACAATGAAATCACAATGCTTTTGTCGTTTAATGGTTTGCTCATGGTTTACTCACGAGCAGGGGCATTGACCAAGGATTCATTGTTGTAAACGATTTATTCGGTGACGAATCGTAACTCGAACAACTAACGGTTTCTTAACATCTGTCTTACGATAACTATGCCTCTCTGAGTTCGACCGTTCACCTTGAACTGAAAAAAAATAAAATAAAATTAATACTTGGCAATATTATTGCGAATCCATTAAAGTTTTTTGGTGTTTCAAAAACGTTACAGGATAAGCAGAACTGTGTGTATATAAAGTAAAAAATTTGAAGGGAAATAAACGCTTAAGAATACATAATTGTAGGTTGGTAGTCATAGTTTTATTTTAGCACTGCTTGCGTGTATAGACGAAAACGTTTGAAAGCTGTCGAGTACGAAAAATAATTATTTTCTTAACGTAAAGTCCCGGATGCGTTTATCTTCACTATTAAGGTCAACTTTTAATTATTAGGAGCCTCGAAATCTTTAGAGTGCCTAATGGTGGCGCCTTAGACTATGATGTAACGAATATTGTTTATCACCAATATGAAAAAATATTAATTGGTTATCTATACTAATACCATAAAGAGGAAAAAGTTGATTGTTTGTTTGTATTGAATAGGCTCTGAAACTACTGAACCGATTTGAAAAATTCTTTCACTATTGGCAAGCTACACTATCTCCGGCCTATATTAGATTTCCAAAAAAAATTGGGATCCTTACTAAAACTTCAATAATGTAACCCAGGGTGTAAAAATTACCTAAAATATTCTTTGCATCGCGTGCGCTGCGAAAAGGATTAATGATAGAATAAAATAATGCACTATGACTTTGCAGAACATATCATTATTTGCAAAAAGTGTCTCGACAGGATATGTCTAACTATTATATGTATGTAGCTGTGCCACAATAAATACACTTTTATTTAAAAAAATAAAACAACGACAATATCGTTTACAGGGAAACTGTAACTCGATAAATTCAATGGATTTTGTTTTGTATGTATGACGTTTTTAGAAAATTGGAAAAAATATATTAAATGTTTATTAAAAATAACAAAACAAAGAAATAAAAAATAAAAACAAAAAAAACATTAAAATAAAAATAAAAGTTCATTAAAATAATAACTTTCAAACTTTCTTTATAATTTTATTTTTTTAGTAACCTGACGCAAATGGATAGGGTTTATGTGTGTGTATTTTAATTTTTAATTTTGAAACTTGTTAAATACCCAAGTGAAGCCGGGGCGGGCCGCTAGTGCGTTTATAATTTGTCAAAACTTAGTGTAGTCCATGGGTCTAAACGCCCTGTACACGTACCATGAGTCGCTAATAGAAAAGCGGAAAAGTGAGCCTGCCTACTATATAGTTTGAAATACTGCGTTAAAATATACTACTTTTTAAAAGTTTTTTCATTCGTTTTCGCTTACTCAGAAACAATTCGTTTATTTATAATAAGCAAGACCTTTGACCACGTAAGAAAGAAAAACACCGTGTCAAAATACTGGCAGCCCTAAACACTGTTAATCAAAATTTACGTGCGTGGTTTTTGTTATTTTTAAATCTATAACCTTAGAAAGACGGCTTCCTAGCGCAGTTCGGTTCAAATGACTTTTACTTAGTATGAAAGACTTACGGAAAAGATACATACGAGTACACACATCCCGAAAAAAAATGCAGATTATGTCTTCTGTAACATGCTTTTAATAAATACTTCACAAAAGAGTTTTAGATGAAATTAAGATAAACGCTGACTTTATCAAATTCATGTCACTGCTGCATAAATTAGTTATATTATGAGAAGAAATATGTCTTATGTATTAATGTCGCCTTAGGTAACGTAAACTGAAATATTTGAAAAGTCGAAAAAATTAAAATGAATATGATAAATTTGCATGTTAAAAAAATACCAAACTCATATTTGGATACAATATACTAATATTATAAAGAGGTAAGATTTGTTTGTTTGTTTATATTGAATAAGTTCCGAAACTACTGAACCGATTTGAAAAATTCTTTCACTGTTTGGAAGTTACACTATTCCCGAATGACATAGGCTATAATCTTTTTAGAAAAAAATTAGGGATCCTTACTAAAACTCCCATAATGTAACCCAAGGTGCAAAAAAATACCTAAAATATTCTACATCGCGCATAATATATTACATCGCGTGCCGTGCGAAAACTATTGATGATAGAATAAAACAATGTACTACGACTTTGTAGAACATATTATTAATTACAAAAGGTGTTGCGATACCATATGTCTAACTATTATAGTTATGCCGCAATAAGTGTTCTTTTATTTACAAAAATTAAACAACGTCAATTATCGTTGAAATTTTTGTTAAAGACCCGAGCGGAGCGGATTCGTAAAAACAAAAAAAAAAATTATGCGGATGTGTCAGTTTTTATCTTTTTTCAAAATTGATTACTATTTTTGACGTGTTTAGAATTATAATTTATAATACCTATTAAGGACGAACGCAACTAAATCTTTGTTAGATGCTCTATTTGATTGCCTATCGAGACTCAGTTCGTAAATTTATTATGTTGCAGTTAGCTTGTTGAAATCGAGAAAGTTAAGCGGCAATATTCTTGTCTTTTAACACTGACCTGATAATCTGTTTTACCTATTTTATTAGGACTTTTTGTTGCATAAATTGCTAAATCCCAAGATCCAATAATTGCTTTTTTAACACTTAAATCGTAATGTCGGCTTGTTCTCGCCGCTTTGTTTTTCGCAATCCAGTATGCATTTTTTGACTAGACGCGATTAAACGTAGTTATGTAACGGGCCGACTAGTGAAAAAATATTCAACAATTAGTAGTTCAACTATCCGAAGACCGATAATTTCATGCATGAATAATTTCCCAGATTATGATGGTGCCACAATTACAATTATCTAACTTTAATAAAACAAAACGAAGTAGATTTTAACTTGTATTATATATTGTGCAGTAGTAGATTGGAAATGTTATATAAAATGCGAGCATGAGCACCGTTCGCCTTTATTATTTTGACGCGACGGTGGGAAGGCGCGAGAGCAGTGCTGGGCGGGAAATTGTAACGCAAACACCTCTATAGAAATTATCGACTCGTGCTGTGCTTGAAATAAAAATAAAACAATAATATTAACTGTTAAGAAATTTCATCTGGCCTTACCATGAAGATGTGGCGACGGTTAATAATAGTAAGTATCCAAATATTAAAACATATAATATTTATACAACTACTATACTATAATAATATACTTCATTAATATTATATTATGCGCATTACTTAACTAGTATTTTGTGAAACACGGGTATCTGTGCTCTAACCATAAGAATTAGAATCGTTTTTGATGTGTGAATGAAGGTGTGGAGTTATAGGCTACAGTCTAGTAGAAACATGGGTATTTGGCATATTCAGGCTGTTATGTTGTCAGGCCTAGGTATAGTTGAAAGCTCTTCTCAAACCTCGTTTGAAGAAGGATGTGTCAAAGCGCTCGGAAAGTATCCTATTACTTACAATCGCAACATCCCATCACAACCCGTTCAATCGCAACATCCCATCACAACCCGTTTGGAGTTAACCGGTAACCGAATTCCATAGGTTACAATTTAAACCTTCGATCATATTGATATACGATATTAAAGTTTGTTACATAAATGAAACACCTAAACATCAAGTCTCTTGTATGTATTTCTCTTGTATAAATGACTGAATATAAATATACAGACGAAAATAACAGATGTAAATTTACAATAACCCGTCTAATATTCTACCATTCAAAATTATTTTTATACGTAATTGTTAATTATTTTATTTATTTATTACACTTCATGTAAAATTTACATTGGCGGACTTAATGCTTAAGGACATTCTCTACCTGTCAACCAAAGGTAGTGCAGAGTAAGTAGTGGTAGGTGCAATGAAATTTATATTAATTTACAAATACATACACAAAAATATACATATATACACAATCACATAATACACATACATACATAAATACATGCATATATACATACATATACTAGTGTATACAGTATTAAAATTATTCGATGTGCTAACGGATAATTTTAAATGTAGGGTAGGTTTAATATTATGTATTCCTGAATTGCGCACTAAATATGAGTTATGTCGTAGATTAATTTATTTCGAATATATCGGCCATTATTGTATCTGTATTTGAATGACTCGGTGGCGTAGTGCTCTCGAGAAGGCCAAGAATCGTGGGTTCGATTCCCAAATCTGGTAAACACTTGTGTGACAAACAGGTGTGCTCTTTAGCGGTAGGCAGCGGCTTGGCTCTGCCCCTGGCATTGCTGAAGTCCATGGGCTAACGTTAATCACTCACCATCAGTTGGGCCGTATGCTCGTCTGCCTACAAGGGCAATAAAAAAAACTCGGTCATTAATATCTATAGAAGTATGTGTATTTAAATATGTTTTTTTTTTATGTCTATCAATATCTGATTCGCAAAAAACAGGATTCCAATTTGGGGCTAAAATTTGGCGTATGCGAAAAGTCCCTGATTGTTTTCCTGTATTTATCTAATATTTTTGCAAAATCGATTCGCCATAAATTTGTCGTTCTCATTTTACCTAGTAATTACTTTTCGTATAAGCTTAGATGGATATAGTGTACCTAGTTAAACTAACTTCGCAAGCATCCATTCTTCATTTAGTAAACAACCACGAACTTAACGTGTCGGCAAGCAACTTTTGACCCTTTTGTCAACCCGTAACTCATTGTTGGCGGGATAACTTTCATTAATTTATTTACCAAAGTTTCGACTTTGTACGGCATCTAGACGTAGCGTAAACTAAAACATAAAATCTTGTTTGTTCGTAGTGATATTTATCAAGAAAATCGATCGAAGTGCAAGTCGATTTGATCGTGAATGATCAAGGGCATTACAGTAACATTTAAAATTCTCACACCGTTTTGTTCTGGTACATTTTATTGGTCTCACTTTCGTTTCAATATTGCCGAGAAGCTTAAAATGTCATTAGTCTGGAGATAGTGCCATTTGTATTGGTCAAGTTTGTTGGCACGAGAGAGTAACGGTCTCTTGTAAAACTTATCAATGTACAACAACTATAAGGTCTTGGTGGGTATAAATTATAAACGCCTGCGTTAATGTTAGTAGGTATTTAATTAAGATATAGGTACTAATATGAGTACTTGTAAACGTGAAATTAGAAAACTTTAACTTTTTATAACTACAGTCAAAACCGTTTACTGCGACATCGTTTAATACAACATACCGGTTATAATAACCAAGAACAAAGGTCCCGGCTGAATGCCATATGACCGCCTTATTAAAAATATTGCTTTCTACGACATTGGTAATAACGACATACCTCATAAAACGACCACATTTGACTAATATTTCGGAGAATTAGATCTGTTAGAACGACCGGCTAAGCTGTATTGTAAACAATTTGAATAGGTATCCACATTTGTCTTCAATGGCTTTTAAAATCAGGAAAGAAAACAATAGGATTTAATTTAGTGTAGGGTCTTTTCTAATTCTTAGAAACAAAACACGTGCATGCGGTAGTCAAAGCCCACTTCTTCATATCTCTTCAGTTAGTTTGTTACTTATCTATACACAAGACGTACCAAAACTTTGTGGAGTTATTCGTCAAACTTTCAAAATCTCGCAAAGAAAAAGTAAACAAATTAATATTGAAGAAAAATCGCGTATTATGTAAATATATTTTTCCAATAATTCCCTATCGATTTGTTTGTACTTGCACGATACACATTAAACATCACCGGTTGTTACGACTATCGGTTTTTACGACTGAATATGAGCAGTCCCTTCGATGTCGTTATAACAGATTTTGACTGTATATTAATTACAAGTTGATATTTTAAGTTGTGATTTTCTTCACAACAACCGGGTGCTGCCTTTCCATGAGATCTACATTAATTGAAAGGTTGAATTAATGTAATTATAATTTGCCTTTTTTCTACCTATACCTTGAAAAATGTATTTCGAAAACTCAATAAGGATGTTTTAGTATCTAGTCTTAATATTCCCATAGAAAAGGCGTTCCATAAAGTTTGAGATGAGTTCTAATAATATTCTTGCTACTTAGAAATTCTTGCGAATTTGCAAGGCTTGAATTATCATGACAACCTATCTAGGTAGGTTAGAAGGCTGCATTCTCTCACCCAGATCTAGTTCAAACCTGTTCTTTCTCTGTTCTCAAATAACCAAGCCCTAAAATCTAATCTAGGCCGGCACCGTCCTGTAATAATGTTTATAATAAAGTCTATTGAACAACTATGTTTTTTCGCCTTTTTCACTGCCGCCACTTGAATGTATTAATCTTTTTTTTTTTTAATATCAGTAGGTAAGGTTCCTATTGATATTTTTGCGAAAGCATTCATACGATAATACATTATTTAATTCATTAACTATTTTGTAACGACCTTCATACAGTTTTTTTTAATTCATTAATTGAAACTCCTTTTACAAATAGTAAATTGCACGGAATAGATAAATGAGGTAAATTGTGATTATTGTAATTATTATTTTAATTTTGCTGTTTCCGATGTTTCAAATACTTTATTACAATAAATCTATATCGAAAAATGAAAATGATAATCGAGAGATTAATGAAAGCAGTTTTAATTACGTGTTTAAATCTAAACATTTTGTTTGTTCAATTTATACCTCAACAAAAGGAATAACAAAAGAATCATCTAGTTAAATTCTATAACGACATCACGGAAACATACCTCCCAACTACAATAGCTTTATCTACATTGAAAGCCGCTTTCTAGGTGTTCTGTTATCCTAGAAAGCTTGGTAATAAAATATCCAGCTAATAGCCCTGACCGCAGCCTCCACCGACAGTCCAATACACAATAATAATATAATACAATGTTTAAGAGCTTGATAATACCGCTATTCGGTGCAGCCCGACAATCCAGGTCAATATCGTACCTAGGTTGCATTTGGATATATTACATCACTCGTATACGAAGCAATACGAGGTATCTATTAAAATTATCCGCTACATGTTGCTTACAAAAACTAGTAAAACCAATGGTTAGATTGGAAGCACTCATTCGTGACCTCGAAAACTGTAAAGTGCGAGTAGATGCGGTATTCAAAATGCACGAAATCGAACAACCAAATGAATTAAACGCGAGTATAAATCACAAGCATTCATCAAATGCTTTTCAATTTTTATTGAAAGTATTATAAGTTAGACAGTAGTATGTCGTTTGAAATTTGTAACTAGAGAAATATTAGGAACTGGCGATGTTTTTGCTTCGATTTATTATAATTTAATTGCTAGATTTATCTATATATATATAAAAATGAATTGCTGTTCGTTAGTCTCGCTAAAACTCTAGACCGGCTGGACCGATTTGGCTAATTTTGGTCTTGAATTATTTGTGAAAGTCCAGAGAAGGTTTAATATAAAAATGCTCGGAATTAAATAAAAAATAATAATTTTGTTTTTCCTTTCATGTGTCCCCCGTCGGACGGATTCATTTTGTTTGTTTTAAGTTTATTTTATACATTATCGATTGAGGCACTACGAAAGTCTGTCTGGGTCAACTAGTAACAAATAAATATGTAGAGATATAAAAAATGTGACGAGATTTGTTTAAATGGCCCCGGAGACTAAGATGTGTTAGGTACTTAAAACAGAAATGCCAAAAGAAGCATATATCTAATTAAAACGTTTAATTTTGAAGTAATTGTCAAATCATGAAAGCTAATTCTCAGCTCAGTCTTCAAAATATAACATTAACATCAAAATGTATTTAGTTTTCTGTATTAAATTACTGCCGTCAGACCAACATGGTTTTAGCGGAGATATCACCGCAGAATGGTGGTGGGCAATGTAATTAAAATCTCGCTTAGTTTTATTAATTGTTTTAATCATTGACCGAAATGAATTAATTAGTCAATGTACATTAGGAGACCTACGAACACGAATTAAGGATTACGAATTAGCTTTTATTTCAAGTTTTATTTTACAAGTTAAATTTTGAGGTTAAAGCCTGTTTATTGTTTCAATAAGTAATGTAGGTGCTGGAAACCATACGAGACAAGAACAAATTCACCAGGGTCTCGAACCCAGAATCTAAATAAAATCAATAAAATTTTTAACTCTGACCTGTCAATCAAATCAATCTGAATGTAGAATAATCTCTGAAAAAATACGACACTATAGCAACATTTTAATATCCACATACTTGATCTTAAGGAAAAGTAAATAAGAACAAACGGAAGCCTACTATTACGCTTTGGTGTAAAAATAAAAATAAACTTTCTTTTCAATCAGACGAAAGTAAAAAGTAAAAAACCGCTTCCGCACTTGCACGCTTCATTTATTTCACGATCGCTGTTTACGTCTGCCTATATTTTTTTTTGACTATTTCCATGAATAAGTGGGTGATGTTGGTATTGCACAACTCTAAATAAACTACTGTTCGATAACTGATCGAGTTTTCTACACAGGAGTTCCTGTTGACATTATGTCATGTACCTATCGATTTCTTATTTATTTCATGACGCCAAAACGAGAATGTTGATGCTGTTGGAAAGTAGATTCGCTTTCTTTCTTCCATCGACAATTTTAGCTAATCATTTCCTGTGGTTTTTTTCGTTCATCTATGTATGACATCTTTTCCCACGCACCTATCTCGGATAAACGTATTGACAGGATGTCGCATCCTTACATCGTATCACGGATATTAAAACGACTTTTTATTTCGAGAATGTGGTTAGAGTGTCTATTTTCAGAATATTCTTCTCGTCATGGTTTTATCGAATGATCTTCATAACCGCAACTTTATTCTCTTTCACTTTCGGGGGTTTTGTCGATTGCGTCCCTTTTCTTATCTCGGACAAAGAATCAATTATTTTAAGTGAGCTAAATCGATTCTTTGTATTTCAAAATTTAATTTACATATTACACAATTATTGGGTTTGTTACAAATAAAAAATAAATTCACGTAGTCCGTCTCGGTCCAATTATTTCGTTGTTGATGAATTGCAAAGTTCTTCGGTTGTTTAATGTGGATTGTTAGACGTGGTTTGGGCGTAAAAAAAGAACGTAGATTCACTCCAAATAGAATATATCTATTCCTTTGAGCCGATAAATTTAGTAAGCTATCTATGTTCCATAAAATTGGTTTATTTCTACTTTTAACTGGTCACCGAAGACTAAGTATAAACATCTTAACGTAAATGCGACCATGTAGCTCTGACATATGATATCGAAGCTTCAATTTTACTTAAGGCTGCTCCACCCATCAAACTGGAACGCATGATTGCTTCTCGGTAGAAATAGGAAATATAGTGTTATATATTCACAATGACCTACTACCACCAATAAAATGCGCAAACGCAAATTTGAGGTTACGTGACAATGGACATGAAAGTAGTAGGTAAGTGGAAATTAACAAAAATGATACTTAGTGAATAAACTTATCATGTTATCTTTGAAATGCTTGAGGATGTTTTTATTGCGAGTGTCTTTAATGTTCGTTTACCGTAACAGTTCTGCTCAGAATGTTATTCTTACTCTTTTTCTGTAATTGTGACACAGATTACAACTGTTTTACGTAATTTTAGACTAGTTAATTTTCATGTTTTCAATTGCCCCAGTTTTCATCTAAATAATTGCCACTTCTGTCGTGATAGTCTATAAATATTAGTTAATGTTCAATTTGAAACTTTCTATATTCTACATGGAAAGTGATAAAGCGTTCTATAATACTAATTAAAGTTATGATATTAACAATAATTTAGCTCAAAGCATGTTACGATAAGCTCGCATTGAGAACTCTATCATGAATAATCACCCAAATAAATACTACTGTTTAGGTAATGAGACGATCTATTAAACCTTAAAACCCTCGGTGGGAAAACAAGCGAGTGAACTATGAAAATAAAGTGATATACAATTTTCAGGTTTTGCCGTTAATTCTTTCTATTACTGCAATAAAAGTTCCAGTTGATGATAAGGAGGATGATACCACCGAAGCAGTCTCCTCAACTTCGAACGACAGTCAAAAACCTATAAATTATTACACGCAAGACGATACGAATTTAGATAGTTACCTTATACCTCCAAATCCCCATCAATCCCATGAGGTGCTTCCCGATTCTGTCATAACGCCAGCCACTTACCTATTGCCACCGTCATCAGAACAGCAGCCTGGGTATTATTATCCATCAACGGAACCTGGCGAACAAAGTGATTGGTACCCCATTGCTCAGGGTAAACCAATTCCACTGCAAACGCCATCTATTTTGCCTCCACTAAGAATAGAGACCGAAGTACCGGTATTTTCAACCAATCCGAAGGAATCTAAAAAATTGAGAGGTATAAGGGTTGGAAGGGTGAGGGATTTGGAAAAGTTCGAGCCTCGCAAGCCTATTCTTAACCTTGAACCACCATCTGTTAGTGCGCCTGATGAATACGCATTCAAGACTCCCTCTGAACAGCTAGAGCTTCCGTTTGAAGAAACATTACACGTAAAACCGTCTAACTTCAAACCACCTTATGTAGATAGTGATAGCAGAAATCACCTTCAAACCCATAGCATTAATCCTATTGAACCAACTTTGGCATTGCATTTGGTACCACCGAAACCATTATCAAAACATAAAGTGCCCACAAAATTATATCCAAAGAAATATCCGGGTGAATTTAAGCCCGTTTCCATTCCAATAGCACAATTTGCAGATGATCTAATAGAAATTCCAAAAGCTAAACCCGTAAAGCCTTTCCATCCAATTGCAAATATTGAAAACGATTTTGTTCCCCAATTAGACGACAAAAGGATATTTTTATATCAACAAGCCGAAGAGAAACGGAAACTGAAAAACGAAATTCAAGTTCCACAGGTTGGTAAAACAAAAAAAGCAGATATCTATCTATTTCAGATAATCACCCTAATTACATTTGCTATTAATTAAATGTAACGATTGACTGTATTCTCTTATTGGTTTTTATTTGGAAATTGGTTTGATACCGAATAGTACGTTTTCTCATACTCCGTCAATTTCGGTAAATTCAGACTTGTCATAGTTTGGAAACTATGGTATTGATTTCATGAAAATAAAACAATGCAATTACTAAATTGACAATTATATTTTAAGCATCAACATTTCGAGAGCGGTCCCTTGCAATCGTACACTGAAGCTATACCATCGGAACAAGATGTGTCAGAGACGCATTACGCATCGCCTGGCCGTAAGTATCAATATCAATGTTTGAGTTTACTGGTGGTAGGACCTCTTGTGAGTCCGCAGGGGTAGGTACCACCACCCTGCCTATTTTTGCCGTGAAGTAGTAATGCGGTTCGGTTTGAGGAGCGCAGCCGTTGTAACTATACTGAGACCTTGGAACTTATATCTCAAGGTGGGTGGCGCATTTAGGTTGTAGATGTCTATGGGCTCCAGTAGCCACTTACCACCAGGTGTGCTGTGAGCTCGTCCACCCACCTAAGAAAAAAGGGAAAATTTTAACCTACACCGCTTATTACGAAAACTACACGTATGCATTTACGTACATTACCGTACCACTGTAAAAGAATAGTTTTTTGGAAGCAGTGGTAGTTCTCTCGCACTTCGATCAAGTGTCTCAGGGTGAGTGCCAGCATTTAAGTGGTTTTAAAAATATGGGTTTTCCTTAGGTACCTACCTTATGTATATTCATTGCTCTTTTACAGCAAAAAATATTTGTCGTTTCAGGGAATGCTTACCCCGCGCCTCTTCGTCAAGCTCCACCAACGCCAGCCCAACGTAATTCGAAGTCGTCTCCGGCGCCTGACGAGAGAACAGAATTCCGTATGCACGGCATGAAAGGGCCACATAGCTATCAATTTGGCTACGACACTGGAAAGGGGTAATTATGCCGATAATTACGTGCAATTGTAATTGGTAGCAGAATGGCTATAATCCAGGGCTTATTAGATCATTATCTAATATTACTTTAGAAGATCGTGCTGAGAGGTACTTAAAGATAATAGTTTGTCGGTTAATATACGGTAGATATGAATGTGTAACCTGCTTCTTTTGTCGGTCCGTAGTAACAATGCCGTAAATACATACTCCTCCTACCAACCTCAGTACTCCCCTCCTGGCTGAGCCTTTGCTCGCTACCTGTCCTGGTGAAACTGGAAAGGCCTCTGGACCAACAGTAATCCCTCATTCACAAAAAAGCCTTAGTATTTTTGGCTGATAAAGATGAGTATGTGGTATCGATGTAGAACAGCACCACCGCATGTCTTTCCGGCGCTTTCGTAAAAGGTCACGACGAATTCGAAAACGAGGGTTCACTGGAGAAAAGAAGCCTTCTTAGTGTATTATACCAGCGTACTGCTATTGTCAAGTAGGATGTCTAGGCATTGCTAGGTTTATCTGCCTGCCAATTTCTGTCACGAAGAAGTCATGTGTTTCGGTTTGAAGGACGGGTCAGCCGTTATAGAATACATTTGAGAGATTGACCTTAATGTCTCAATTACGTACGATGTATGGGCTGCGGTAATCGCACGGTAATACCATCCTGCTTATTTTTGCTGTAAACTAATTGTGCGTTCTCGTTTGAAGATCAGTTTGATTAGTCCAATGTCTCTGGATAGACGAGGTCATGGCCTCTCCATAAGACCATGCTCTAAGTTACAAACCTAATATAGCTAAGTGAATATTTAAAAAAAAAGTGTACAATTCACACCTGGTAGAAGTGAAACCTTCAAAAATGTTGGCTTCAAGATAACGAGACGAATGTAAAATTTCGGGAAGAGGATAATTGTAGGTTTTAGTAATGATCATAGTTTGATAATTATTTTACATAGATTTATTCAGAATACGAATATTAGGTACGAAGTAGAGCACAAAGAGAACCACGAATATAAGAAAGATTGTAATATAATGCTTCCTATCTCATTTTCTCCCACGTTAAATCTTATATAGGAATCTATGTGTCTCTTTTTATGGTCGCTTTTTCGTTTCATCGACTTTCAAATCACAACGATGCTAAAGAAGTTTTCACTTAAAAAAGGAAGATACAACCTCGCGCTAGCATATTATGATGATTTTACAAACACTGTTTATTATTTTTTTACAGCAAAAACCGCCAATTCCGTTACGAAGAGCGAGACAATGACGGTCTGATCAAGGGGCATTACGGTTACATGGATAAGCGCGGTAAACTAAGAGTTGTTAATTATAGCGCTCATCCCGAATTGGGTTTCCATGCCGAAGCACCGGTAGAGACAGAACAATAGATCCATAACAATTTATATCGATAGTAGAAACATTATCGATTCTAAACGATGCGTATCGATATTTCGTATAATCGATGTATTCGGATCATTTTAATTGATTTTTATTTATAAATGAATAGGTGAACAAAGCTATTCTAAATAATGTAAATATTATTATTTCTTTTGATCGTTGATATGCAAAAGTAAAACCTATTTTGTTTTATGTACGGTTTTTTATGTACCAATGTTTTTGGTTCTAAAATAAAGTATATTTTGTAAACTTAGTGTCATATAGTCAATTAAGATTTAGTTAATGCGCAATATTTAATTTGTATTATAATATGTAGGTAAGGATTTGTTGTTTATTGGATCGAAGGTTGAATATTAAAAAAAATATCTATAACAATTTCTTTTATTAAATAATTTTACATGGCACAAATACTCTTAAATCACCTTTTCTCAGAAAACGTAACAAAATTTTATTCTTACAGATAACAATAACAATCAATATATTCTGTGGACTGATAGATATATAGATAAAATAAGATATTCATGAATCGATTTGGTTTGAAATCAGCTACAGCTAATCTGATTTGTGGATTTTAAATGATTTATAATCACGTCCAGAAGACTGGACGCTCCAATCCTGAATAGGGCAGGTGTGAGCCAGTCAGGACCCAGCTCTGTGTACAAAAGAACTAACCAATTCAGTGTATCCTGAACAGTTTTTATTCCACCTGCCGGTTTAAGTCCAACCTGAAAGGATAAAGAATATTCGTTTTTCATTGTGATTATTCGAAAAGGGCACAATGACAGGCGATGACACATCACTTGTGTGATAATGTACGTATGAGCCACACTATTCTGCCGCGAATTTCTCATGGCTAAATTTAAATTTAGCGTTTTTTTTTATTGATTACATAGGTGGACGAGCTCACGGCCTACTTGGTGTTAAGCGGTTACCGGAGCCCATAGACATCTACAACGTAAATGCCGCCAATCACCTTGAGATATGAGTTCTAAGGTCTCAGTATAGTTACAACGGCTGCCCCACCCTTCAAACCGAAACACATTGCCGCTTCACAGCAGAACTAGGCAGGACGGTGGTATCTACCCGTGCGGACTCACAAGGCGTCCTACCACCAGTAATTAGGCAAATTATAATTTTGCGGGTTATTACACAATGTTATTCCTTCACCATGGAAGTCAATCGTGAACATTTGTTAAATACGTATTTCTGCTTATACTTTGCAATGGTCTAGCAAAGACCAAAATTAATTTTAGAAAATGGTGACCCGAATTAAGATATCTATAGGTTCTTATCTTCAAACATTAGTACAGGTTCCATGCGAGCAGTTTTTGGAGTAGAGGACACAGGAATGATACAAAAGATGCATGCATACCTTATGACCGGTCATCTGATAATATCTTCTAATAGCCCGACACATGACAAGACCAATGGGTAGCGTTGCGTTTACGGCTTCTTTGCCGGTCGATGTCTTAATGAAGTCCGCTCCAGCCATCATGGCGATCATTGAAGCTTTGTACACCTGTGTTATAATCACTCAACATAGTATAAAACAAATCCGATTTCTCTGTCCCTATATCCCTATGCATGCTTAAATCTTTAAAACTACGCAACGGATTTTGATGCGGTTTTTTTTAATAGATAGAGTGATTGAAGAAGAAGGTTTATATGTATAATAACATCCATTAAATAGTGGAGAAATACTGTTATTTTTTAGGTTTCTAATGTGATGTCGTAAATAATCAATAATGAAATTTCAGGTTTCCGAAGCGAAGCGAGGGCGGGTCACTAGTTACATCATAATTAATTTATTATTATTTAAATTAATGCTCTATTAGAGTCCTCTAAGCATGTTCCTTACTTAGTTTGATTCGATTGCAAAACCTACCCTGCAGTTTTACTCGCGTTTTGTGACTTTAAATTCTGAATGTATCACATTTCGTATATTATGTAAATTGCCTCCAGGATCTGACTTTAAATATTATTTCGTTGGCTCACAAGTCGTAGCCGCAAAACCAGCCACAAGATTTGAAAGATTTCATCTCTGTAAGTATCTACCATACTCTTTGTTAAGTTCTTATAAAAATGAAATAAGTTTATGAAAATTTAGCCACATCCCTATAAAAATAATATGTTCTCGCTTACATTATAATAAGTTCCCAATTCGCCAACGCCAAGAATAACTTTGAGATGTGCAGATCCGCATGCTTTCTTCATTTGTTGTATTTCATTAAACAGTGTCTCCCATTCTCCGGTCAAAACTAAACTCCTATCGATAACCACATCAATTTCTGTTGCACCATACCCTACGGTCATCCGAATCTCTTCTAATCTCGTTGCGAGAGGATACAAACCAGACGGAAATCCTGTAGCCACTGAAAAATAGGTTTCATAATTTAAATATTTGAATAGGTACGTTCGAAATTTGAATGTAAGAACGCTCGGTTAATGTATTATTGATACTACACACATTCGAGTTCGTTCATACATAATTGCCAAAATAAAGCAATTGAGTTTTCGGAACGAAGTTTCTTAAGGGCGATGCGGAGGGGTACCCTAACCGGGAGAAAATGTCCGTTACGTAAGATTTTTATTAGTAATGCACACAGTGTACGACTTAATAATATAACGTACGTATAATAACGTACAGAAAATAACATATTCTTATTATATATTTTTTTTAAATCATTGTGAATAAAATAAAGTTGATAACTTTGTAAAGTAGTTTTTTTTTATCAATAAAAAAATCATAATAAAAAATAATTAATTTCTTTATACCTCGAATAGAATTTAAAATTAATATTTTTATAATAAGGAACTTCGTTCCTATCCGGTGTCCCACGACACCACACATCTTTTTTTTTTTTATAAGATGAAAAAACATGATATTCTTTTATTTGACCTCAATTGTAATTCACCATATGAAAGATGAAGAGGTCGCTGGAGACCTAGCTCTGTATACAGCATTCATAAGATTTAAATCATTCAAAGAAACAGAAGAAAGAGTATTCAAATTCAGTGTTGATAAAACTTACCTGCAGCCACTTGTATGTTTTTTTCCAACTTCATAGCCTTCAGAGCAGTACATACATCAGGCACCTTTGTAGGGTAGACACAGACAGCTGCAGTGTGAAGATTATCAGAAGGATTCATAATATCAATTGGAATTGGATATGCAGCCTAAAAATTAATTAAGACATTTGCTTTAAATTCTTACTAGAGTTAACTATTGCTAAATATGTACATACATATTATTACTACATGAAAAACACCCACTACATGAAATGACTTGTATGGGACTTATCAGGTTACATAAAACTTACTATGTAAGAAACTTTAAGTTTCAAGACCATTTTATTTTTGCATTTAATTGGTTAAAAAATTGTAGAGTTCAGAGAACGAACCAAATTAGCAAATTTTAAATATTAATCTTAGAAAAAAATACTAACCTCTAATCTAACGCTTAAACATAAAGATGTTGCAATATGAAAGTAAATGAATGTTACTAAAACATCTATTTCTAACTTAATAATATTACCTGTCACTTTGAAAATGATTAATTGAAATTGAATCGAATAGCCTAGTTGTTTACCTTCCGACAAAGTCTTCTAACATTTGATGATGTGTCATCACCAGAAAGTGTTGTCAAGTCAATTAGAGTGATTGCTTTCATAAGCCATGCCCTCTCATCCTTAGGAGACACAACATTGTTGTATAATATTGATTTTACTTGAGAATCTACATTGCTTTTATTTATAAATGTATTATCTAAGGGCATATCATCTGAAACATTATAAAAAAATAAAAAGGCAAATAAAAACAGTTCAGCACGTGTTTTATGTCTTATTTATTGATATTGTATTTTTATCGGTTGGTTTTTCACACATAGAAATAAATGTCATTAACAAACCAACAGAGAAAATATCTACAGAATATGAATCTTGAGTCTTTATGTAGTTTTTGTATGTATGTAATGCAGTTTTAATAAGAGTCGTTCATTAATGGTTAGTTTTAAACTAGACAGCGGGGGTTTTGTAAAAAATATACCATTCCATTTTCCTCCATTTAAAAAAAAAACCATTAAAAATATTCCTTTTTATTACTATTTATAAGGATATGGAGAGATTAGTATACAGTCCCACTGGATGAAAACAATTGATAGCTGAAGCATATAGTCAAACAAATAATCTAATTTATAGGCATTGTCAATACAAAACTGATTAATAGGCTATGAGTCAATCAAGTGTTGATATAATGGATCGGAAAATAAAATAATACATTGGTAATTATTATACCTAACTTATTAGTAAATTTGTTAAGTGTCCACTTTTTAAGCTTTTTTTCATGTTACTAGATAATTAGTTTATTGCTAGATAACTAATTTATGCATATTATTTATTAAACACACTTTATTTACATATCTTTTTATATGAAATGGCTAGTTGAGTACATCAATAACATAGGATATTTAATTGTAGGTATTCTTCTAATAGGTATTGACACAATAACCAACACTACAACCTAAAACATAGCAATGTTATTGATTATGTACTATATAATTTTAACTACTAATGTTTTAAATCACTATAGGATTCAATTGAAGTAATAAGTGATTTTTCATAAGGAAATAAAAAAAAATTCAATAGTTAGGAATTTAGCAAGTCACGTCCCAAGGTTTTATGAAACAGATGTTAAAACAGCACATAACACAGCGCCACAGTACATTTTAAAAAACATTGATTTGTTTTATTAGTTTTGATTAATATTAATATGATTAATGTTTTTCTCAGTTATCTTCTACAGTGTTTAAAATTTATTTTACTTTAAGTATATAATTTATTTTAAAAAAATACCATTCATAAATCACCATTTATATTATGAACCTATTTGAGATACATGTACCAGATATATAGATGAACCAGTTTTTTTTTCTCCATGGTTCAATCTACCCTTCAGTTTATTAATAATGTAAGCATGATCCACTTGATCAAACGATAGTTCTATTTTGTAACCAATTAAACTATTATACATTTTTGATGTACTTAATTCAAAGTTAATTCTGTACAGAAACCACAAATGACTAGTAACGATGTGGGGTTATATATGAACCCACGACCTTTTGATCTGAACATAGTTATCACAAACACAGCACTCATTAATGAAATTTAACTGGACATTGATACAATTTTAAATTTGGTCCAATATGCATTTTAAATTTTCCTATATTTATTTAATTTTATAAACATATGTGTGGTTCTCTTCTGTGTAGTACATTGATTGTCATTAAAGTGGATAGTTCTCCATCTCTGTAAGATTTTATTTTTACACTACTTTATGTAGTAAATTATCATTTTGTAGCCTTACCAATAGTTTCAAAAATAGCTCGCACCATTTTGTGGATTTCGAAACTTTTACTTAAATTTTATTACTTGAATTGTGTAATATCTATGATTTTAATACACCCTTATCACTAGGTTTTTAAAATTGGGAAAAATGTTTGACTTTTTAAAACTACCTACTGATACCAATAGTACCAGCTTTCGACAAAATTATCCCTTAAATTAATCAAAAACCACTAAAATCCCCTCAATAAATTTGTAAAATATAAAAAAGTTGTGAACATTAAACAGGGCCGGAATTTTTGCCTTAATTTTAAAATGTTGGTTTGATATTCCGACGAAATTAATCGTATAAAAACATTTTTAATCCATCCATCCAAGTTACGAAATAATAAAATTAAAAAAAATGACATTAAAACTCTCTTATTGGTTCTAAGAAACAATATGAAAGAAAGATTTTTTTATAAACTTAGATTATATCATTTAATTAAAACGCCTCTTAAAAATCCAACAGATTCGTCACCTCCTCATTTTGGGGGAAAACTCCTAACTTGAACACTGCGTTTAAAACTTGACAAATGTTTTTTTACATAATATTATACGGCTCTTGGTTACACGTTCTTTTGGTTCATTTCAGTTGGTCTATAATCATTTAAGATTATAATTATCAGTAAAAACGAATGATTGTTGCTATTATATTTTACTATATTTGTGCTGATTGTTGCACTATTTGCTTCTGCACTATCTTAATTAACAGTTAATAATCAGCTATGAAACATAACAAGCGGCAACACTTCTCATTTCCGTTAAAATGACAGAAATCAGCAGTTCTTGGAGTGAGTGCTTTTAACGTACCGTACTGAGTTTTATGATAACCGTTATTGACTATTTAGTGTATAGATTATTATTACACAATCTTTAACTAATTTTCATCACGAAAACAAAAATAAGGCCCATCCTGATACTTACCGTGGAGTTATTTTCATAGATTAGTCAACTATTAGTAAATATTGTATAGTCGATNACAGAAATCAGCAGTTCTTGGAGTGAGTGCTTTTAACGTACCGTACTGAGTTTTATGATAACCGTTATTGACTATTTAGTGTATAGATTATTATTACACAATCTTTAACTAATTTTCATCACGAAAACAAAAATAAGGCCCATCCTGATACTTACCGTGGAGTTATTTTCATAGATTAGTCAACTATTAGTAAATATTGCATAGTCGATCTACTTGACTTCGATAAGGCTAAGGTTCAGATCTAGATCATACTATATTGTTACGTACATACGTTATTGAATGATTTTTTTTGGATTGAGGGATTGCTGGCAATCCGGAGGCTTAAAACTGTAGAGGGTATTAAAGGTCTCAACCAGAGACCGATCCGAGTTGTGAAGTTCCACGTTCCACTATGCTTAAAGACCAAGGCGTAAATTTCCCGTTCCAATCGGGCCTCGGGGCAACCTCCTCTGGCCGGGTGTAAGCTCCCTGCATAACGAGACAGGGGTGATGAATTAGCTGGAATGAGTCTCTTATGTGCTGGAATGAGTTTTGCTTTTTATTTTTCTTCTTCCCTTCCTCCCCGCTTCCTCCTTCTATTCTTTCTTCATGCTTTTTTTTTTATAACTTAGATTATTTTTTATTTCTCTTCTTCCAGAGAACGCTGTCGAACCTTCCAGGTTGTTTGCACCTTTTGTGCGATATAAAACTAAAGCTGACGCTGACGAGAATTCATTTTCTGTTGAACAACAGCTTAATACCTAGAATCGTGAATAATATAGCAGATCGAGAATTAATGCTTAAAGCTGTATAGAAACATCTCAACTAATGGATGATAATCAATATTTGAATGAATCAGTTTGAAATTTTATGATTATTAAAATATATTGTTTTAACTCAATATATTTGTTTTTTATTGCCCTTGTAGGCAGACAGGCATACGGCCCACCTGATGGTGAGTGGTTACTATCGCCCATGGACGTCAGCAATGCCAGGGGCAGAGCCAACCTGCTGCCTTGCGTGAAGTACTCCACACTCCACTCCACAAGCCCTCGTTTGAAGAAGGACATGTCATAGCGCTCGGGAAACACTGTGGAGGGGAGCTCATTCCAAAGTCGGATGGTACGTGGCAAAAGAGATCTCTGGAAGCGCACTGTGGATGAACGCAGTACTTCTAGGTAGTTTGGATGAACTCTACTATGGTGACGGGCGGTGCTATGGTAAAAACGAGATGATGGAATCATATTAAACAATTCCTCAGAGCATTCCCCATGGAACATACGGTCCAAATTACAGAGAGAACCGAAGTCTCTCCGCAAACCCTGAGTTTCCAAACGATCCGTGAGAATAGAATTCATTCCGTGAGAATAGAATTCGAAGTCTCTCCGTAAACCCTGAGTTTCCAAGCGATCCGTGAGAATAGAATTATCGATAATCTGAAGGGCTCTCTTCTTTAAGGAGTCAAATGAAAGTAGCTGGTAGGTGGGAGCCCAGGTCCAGAGGTGGTAGAAAAGTCTACGCGGGGCTGGACTTGTGCTTTGTAAAGAAAATTCTTTGTTAAGGCGTGAAGTACGCTTCGCTCTGTTGAGCAATCACAGCATTTTGGTTTTAATATGAGAGGCAAATAAACAACTATTTTATTTAGTTGGTTATTGTTTAAAACCATACATTTCCGGAAATCATACCCAATAAAAACCATTCTTCATAGTTCAACAACTTTACGTTCATAATTTTAATTACATTTTATAATTATCGTTATAATTCAGCGTGAAAATATTTCTTAAATATTTCTTAAATTTAATAATTTCCATGAAATGTTAATAGCATTTTATAGTCTATAAAACTATCCTACTTCTACTCATACTCATAGCGACACTTTGTTTGTGTCTGGGGGACTGATTGGTCCTTCCGGTTGATCTGGCTGCTTACAAAAAGGTTTTAAAAAGGTTCCTTGAATATCACAATAAAAATCATGACTGAGACGAGAATCGAGAAAAGAATGTAAGTAAAATTATAACATAATTTTTTTGAGAGTACGAAGTGTCTTGCAAATGTTACCACCGACGAAAGTTGTCCGGCAAAATTGGCTGTTCATTTTTAAACAATATTTTCTGAAACATACGTAAAAATCAGCACTGGGGATTCAATTCAAAAGTAAGTACTATTTTTACCTGTCTTTAGCACCTGGTAAATGGCCAAGCTAGCTGGTAAGCATACGCAAAGTACATACTAATACTTCCCCGTACACTTTATTAGTGAGGAAATAAGTAATGTCTATGGGTCGTGGGATCTTGCTCTACATGTGTTTGGGAAAAAAAGTGTCAAAACACACAGTGCACAATACCCTCTTTACCATAAGGGCACACGGGGCCCGTGCCCAAGGCCCCCATTCTCAGGGGGCCCCGAAAGACCGACAATTTCTCTCACACGTTTATTCTCAAAAAATGTTTGTCGGGCACATTACACTTTTTTCACAAATCAGTAATCAGAAGGTTTACAAGGCATATACTATGCCTATAATAGAAGATTTTGCTCAACAGAAATCCCGAAAGAAACCGTTATCGAAATCATAACCAACAAACCAGCAGCATTCTAATATCATTAATGACATATTATATCATACTGTATTTGATTAAGTATAATAAATGATCATACTCAGTAAAAAAATGTTATTATAATTCGCTTTTTTTACTTTCCAAAAGGGCCTCAAATTCTTGTGTGCCCAAGGGCCCAGTTTAAGACGTCCCTGCTCATGCATAACAAGATACGCTTCTTGAGAAGTTGGTTAAACTTTTTAAGAATCACATGGTCCAACCAAGAATGGTCCTTCGAGCAAGACTCAACATAGGGCCATAAAGTTAGGCCACTTAGAAAGGAACTTTTCTGAATCTCCATCTTTTTGGTACATTTTGTGACGTTCTCTCTACTAACGTTCAGTGTGCTTAGTGCGAGTTTTTTAACTTCTCGATCGCGTAAAAATTAATTCAAACTTATATGGAGTTGGAACAGCGCCCATACGTTTGCGGCTAGGAACGTCACAAAATGTACCAAATAGCTGCATGTACAGAATTAGACCAACTATACAAATCAAGTACACAGAACTAGACCAGCAAAAACATCACACCAAGAGCAACAGTAAATTTTGCTATAGGTTGTTACAATCGCATTAATAATAATGAATTGATCGACGTACCAAAAAGAGAAACTTGGAGAACCTTTGTTTACCAATGCGTCGTGTTACTGTGTTACTGTGAATAGTGAGACGCTAATCAAAGGATAAATCTTCACTCTACCTACAGGGTACAATTTATTGCGATCCAAGATTTGTTTCGGGCTCGCAGGACGTGAAGCGGGTGCTATAAACATTTCAACAAACCATTACCGTGGTCCCACTGAGAAAATAGCAGTCTTAGTTTTTGTTTTAAAGTTTTAAAGGGATTATTGTTGTTACATTGTTCTTTTGTTAGCTGCGACGCAGATTGAACAAGACTTAACTGCTTAATTGTTTAGATTCTCGACTCAACAAGCTTGCCGTCTAAGCCAATTTGCCACGAAGCGAACTTATAGTAGCGTACTATTTTGTGACTGGATGTGAATTGTGTCTGTGTACATTTCATTAAACATTGTCTATAACGGTTCATAGAAGTATTAAAGTGGGCTAGTAATGACGATGTGTGATACGCAAAATTATTTTTTATGTTGCTATAATTAATGTTTAGTATTGTGATTTTTGAAGCATTTAAGAAATATGTCACGAGCTAATAAAATAAGGTAAAGGAAGGTTCATGAAAAAGTATAATATATTTTAGCTGTATCAGTTTTAAAATTATGAGACGAATATCAAGTTACTCAAAATAGCTGCGCATTAGGTACTCAGGAAGAATTTATATCTACGTGTATTGCGGTTAACCTGGTTAAATGAAATTATCGTTAAATTAAATGAATTACATTATTTTCACACAATTTTACGGAACTTTGTTTATACGTGACATTGTTATTAAGTTCGTTAAACAAAATCCTTAAATAAGAGCAATGAATTACAAATGCAATTTGATTAAAAAAATAAAACGCTTGTCTTATCAGAAAATCCGTCGACGTCGCCCTAAGCACGTCATTACGGATCCTCCTGATCTATTAATTGTGCTTTTAAGCACCACAAGCACCGGTCACCGTCCTCGTCGAACCCGTCGCTTGCGACGAAGGGCTCGACGAGCGAATTTACCCATAGACACAGCCCACT